GGGGTCGGGGAAGGACCGGGGCGGGCGCCGGGTCCAGGGAAGCAAGTGCAGAGCAGCAGTCAGGCACCGGGTCCTGCTTGCCTTGACAGCGAGAGGAACTGCCAGGCCCCAAGGGGGAGAGCTGAGCCTGCCGACCGTGGGCAGAGGGTCCACGGAGTCTGCACTCTGCTGGGCGTCCACCAGGCACCATCGCGTCAGCACGCTCGGGCCTCCCAGCGGCCTGGCCATGTCCCAGTCCCCTGTCCGGCTGGGCAGGTGGCCAGGAAAGTGGAGAGAGGACGCCACCCGCCCAGCACACAGGCGAGTGGGTGGCGGGAGGGCCAGACCGCCTCCACGCCAGGGAAGTCCCGTGCCTGTGTGCCCCGCTGGAGTCAAGCTGACATTCCTCCTCTTGCTTTTTCTTTCAAGTTCGCTGCCCAGCACGGGGCCTGCGTGATTTCTGGTGCATCCCGCTCTGATTCTGTGGCTGCCGAGTGGGTCTGCAGTACTGCAGGGGACTTGATAACATGAATTGTGTAGGAGTGTTTTCATTTAATGTTTTCTAAATGATTAATGAGAGCACTTCTACCGTATTTATAGCGACCTAGATTTTGGCAGGTCATGACTATATGTGGGAACTTTCCAGAAAAACAGATCCACTGGGAAATACGTTTCCTTCCAGATTCTGACTTGCCCTCTTTTTCAAGGCGTGCTCTCCATGCAGGGGAGACAGGCTTCTGGCTGGTGTGGAGCTGTTGCGTATTTCATGTTGCTGGATTCTTCTGGCATGAAGGGCTTCACTGATTCCCAGTGACTCTTCACACAGAGCAAGGCTGGGTTTGCTAGACAGAGAATCAGTTTAAAGGTACTTTTATTTGCAGTTCTTTAAAACAAACAAACAAACAAAAGCAGAAAAGGCCTGAGTTACGTTGAAACAGTTTCTGTTGTGTTTTACTGGCGAGGTTGTGGGGTTTGCTTGGGAACAGTGGTCACATCCCCTTCGTGACCAGCGTACATCCAGCGCCTGTGCCTGCATTGGCACCTGAAACCCACTGAGTGACTGGCTGTTAACCTGTTCAAGCTGGGATTAATAGCGTTTCTCCAGCTGCTTTTCTTGTTTTGGCTGTATGAACAGTATATTTTTCTAGAGAGGGGCATTTCTCTTTCTGATGTGTCATGAGGCTGTGTGTGTGCTTCCCTCTCGATTTCTGCTCTATGAGATTTTTAAGCAGTATGAGACCTTCCCAGTGGTACCAAGAGAGAAGAGGGGGAAACTGCTTCCCACTTTAGCCCTGGCTTTCTCCCGGACACTCCCAGGAAAGCCACGGGCAAGGGTGACGTGGTTAAGGAGGATCGGTGCTGGCTCTTCTCTTCCTGCTCTCGGCTGTCTGGATAGAGTCCCAACTCCAGATGTGAGTCACAGGGAGGCACGTGGAGTGTCACCTGTCGCTGGCGTCTGCCTGCGTCCACCTCCCAGAGCTGCGGGAGTCCGGTCCAGCACAGACAGGCTCTGGTGGAAAGCTCGACAGTTTGGGACAGGGATGTCTGTTACTCCATAGAAGATGGTGCCTGGAGAGAAGACGGTGTGAGGGCCCAGAGAAGACAGAACTGCAGGCACGTTCTTCTGGTCTTCCAAAGGGTCTTTGTTCTGTCTGCGTTAGTTAGGACTTCCAGCAGCATGTTCAGTAGGAGTGGTAAAAAGGGCAGGGACATCTCGGCACGATTCAGGACCTTAGGGGGAGGCACCTAGCTTCTCACCGTAGGTGTTTATAGATGTTTTTATCTGTAGGTGTTTATAGATGTTTTTAGCTGTAGGTGTTTATAGATGCTCTTTATCAAATTGAGGACGTTTTCCTCTATTCTTAGGTTGCTGAGAGTTTTAATCGTGAACGGGTGGTATATTTTGTCAAATGCTTTTTCTGCTTCTCTTGATTTATTGTGTGATTTTTCTTGTTTAGCTTGTTTGATGTGATGGGTTATGTTAATTCATTTTTGAATGTTGAACCAACCTTGCATACCTGGAATAAATCCCAGTTGGTCATGGTGGATAATTTCTTTTATACACTGTTAGTTTTGATTTGCTAATTTTTTGTTGGGTTTGATCTAGTTGGATTTGACTTGCTAGTTTTGTTGAGGATTTTTGTATCTATGTTCATTAGCTATGTTCATCTATAGTTTCCCTTTCTTATAATACTGATTTTTTCCTGATTTTTCTATAACGCTGGCCTCATAGAATAAATTAGGGAGCATCCCCTCCACTTCTGTTTTCTGGAAGAGGCTGTAGAGAATTGGTGCCACTTCTTCCTTAAATGTTGTGCAGAATCCACTAGTGAAACCATCTGGGCCTGGGCCTGGTGCCTTCTAGTTTTGGAAGGTTACTATTTATCGATTTCATTTCTTAAGTAGATATTGGCCTATTTAGATTATCTATTTCTCCTTGTATGAGTTTTAGTAAGTAGGTTGTGTCTTTCAAGGACCTGGTCCATTTCATCTAGGTTATAAAATTTGTTGACATAGATTTGTTCATAATGTTCCTTTATTTTCCTTTTAATGTCCATGTGATCAGTAATGATGACCCCTTTTTCATTTCTGATATTAGTAATTCATGTCTTCTCTCTTCTTTCTTGGTTAGCCTGGCTAGAGTTTTATAAATTTTATTGATTTTTGTCAAAGAACTAGATTTGGATTTTGATGATTTTCTCTCTTGATTTCCTGTTTCCAGTGTCATTGCTTTCTGCTCTAACTTTTCTTTCTTTTCTTCTGCTTTTATATTGCTTGTTTTATCTCGTATCCTACAGTAGAAGCTTAGATGATTAATTTTAGGTCTTTTAAATATATGCATTTAACACTGTAAAATTCCCTCTTAGCACTGCTTTTGCTGCATCCCACGAATTTTGATAAATAGTGTTTTCATTTTCATTTAGTTTGAAATATTTTCATATGTTCTTTTAAATGCAAAAACTTCCCCAGGTCCATGGGCAGTTTCCAGGGCAAAGAGCAAGTAACTCCCGACCATCTTGTCATATATTCAGCTCATTTATAAATTGGGCTTGGGAACTTCACAGACGTTTTGTTTCTGCATTTATCTTATAAAGCTTAAAGTGTTCCAGAGATTCTCTCCCTGCAGGTAAATTCTAAACCACGTGGGAACGACTATTGCCTGTTCTCTGTTTGACGTATAGGGATGACAGACACAACTTATGTGTGACTTACCATGTTAGCGCAATCCCATTTTAGTGATGCCAACGGTCAAGAAATGGTTCTTTCTAGGAAGCTGAAATGACTGATGCCATGATGTCAACTTTCTTCAGACGTGGCAGTTATTTAGTGTCATCAAAAAAAAAAATTCAAACATTTAAATTGAATAATTGTCATCTTTCTTTTCTCTAGGCTCACAATCACAATAGAAACTACTTTCCATAGTATTCCTTAGTTTTGTTTGTCCTTCTTCCTATCCTTACTGAAGACCATAGAGCATCATACAATTTTTCAAGATAAGAAGCACAAACATGAAGCCACCTCAGTGTGGCACATGGTAGACCCTCGCTGATGGTTGCTGGATGGACGATAGACGGACTGAGGCACAGAGAGGCTGAGCAGCTTGGAGCTGTCACACAGCTTGCTTCTAACCATCTTTAAAGTGTAGTCCAGGGAGTTCCCTGGTGGCGCAGTGGTTAAGAATCCACCTGCCAATGCAGGGGACACGGGTTCGATCCCTGGTCCGGGAAGATCCCACATGCCGCGGAGCAACTAAGCCCCTGCGCCACAACTACTGAGCCTGTGCTCTAGAGCCCGCGAGCCACAAATACTGAAGCCCGCATGCCCTAGAGCTCACACGCCGCAACTTCTGAGCCCTGTGTGCTGCACCTACTGAAGCCCGCATGCCTGGAGCCCGTGTTCCGCAACAAGAAGCCACCACAATGAGAAGCCCACACATCACAACGAAGAGTAGCCCCCACTCACCACAACTAGAGAAAGTGCACGCGCAGCAACGAGGACCCAATGCAGCCAAACAATAAAATAATAATAAAGTGTAGTCCAGATCTAAGTACTGAGAGGTCCCTTCTGGATCTGTGAGATTGCCCTGTGCTGGCTTTGTCACATCCTTTAAGTCGTTCATAATCAGCACAGGCTGTTTGATTATTTGATGGCATTTATATACTTATATACTTGCTAAATTACGATATATACTGATAAAGATACATGTCCAAGTCATGTCAGAGGGGAACGTGACACTAACAGAAAGATTCCCTCACCCTGAGAGAACACAGCCACATTCAGACACTGTGTAAAAGCTCATTTCAACTGCAGTCCTTTTCGGATCACTGCTCTCATGCCCCCAGCACGCTGATGGAGGTGGCACTGCCCAGAATTCCCTCCCTCCGGGGCAGCCCTGGGCAGTGGAGTCTTCAAGGCCAGCTGCCATGCCTTCCTTCCGCTGGGACAGCTCTGAGGTGGAACTTTCACTCCAGAGCCACACACACACACACACACACACACAGAACTCTCACCCCAGGCCCCCCCCCCCCCCCACACACACACACACACACGTCCCGGAGTCAGGCTGACGCTCCGTCCTCAGGACCTGGGCCCGAGGCGCACCCTCTCTCATTTCCCTCCCCGGTAACCTGACCTATGCAACCTTCTGCAGGAGCTCGACATCCCAAAGGCGTACAGAGAATCCATGAGTGTTCTGTTTTTTTTACTGGAGCAGGCGGTGGTCTCTACCATTCTACTCGTTTTGTGATAATTTCTACACGATTGTGGCGTAACTCTGGAAAAGCAGTGACAGCCAGCTTTCTCCTTTGGTCATTGTCTAGAACATACAGCTGTACAGAGAAAACCAAGACACGCTTTATAATTGGCATCATCGCATACTTTACCAAGATAGAAGGGATTCCGTCATCCCTTCTGCTAGGACATCTGCAGATTCCCTGCTGCATGGGTGCTCACTCTGAGAGGGTGCTTAGTTGTGCTCAGTTACGGCAAACAGACTCACTCTGCTTTGACTTTGGTTCTAGGCTCCATGGTCCCCTTCTCGATGCGGATCCTACACGCGGAGCTTCAGCAGTACCTGGGGAACCCCCAGGAGTCGCTGGACCGGCTGCACAGGGTGAAGGCCGTCTGCAGCAAGGTAACCGTCGCTCCAAGTTGGGCCGCTGACGCCTCCCCTCCTGATGGAGGGCTCACCCAGACTTTCCCGCCCTCAGAGAAGCACATCACGCCACCCTGTACCCTTCCCACCACTCTGCTTCCCCCTCCTGAAAGGCAGGCTGACCGGGTTCCTTGTGACCATGCAATTCACTGTTCTTGCTGAATTATTCTGGGGGGGGCGGTGGGTGGTTTTCGGCAAAGCTTGAAGCCTGAAATCTTTCTTCCCGGTATTATTAGTAAATGAAAAGCAGGAGCGTTTCCTCTTGTGTAGAAATCACACACGTGAACAAGTGCCAGGCTGCCCGACCACTCACGCATCCTGCAAAAGGCTACGTGCACCTGCTTCATGTCAAACGGAGGCATCAGAGCAGTATTTAAAGAGATAATGGTTTAAAATGTTCCAGAATCAAAGCAAATTATAGTGTATCATGACAAGTGTCATTCGTAATACTGACTCCAAAGGCAGATAAGGTTCAGAAGTGCTTCCCGAGTTATTCTGGGTTGTAAAGTAACAATTACGTGGAAGGCATCAAGTTGTATCAACAGAAGATGAGATTTACTGCACTGAGTGATGGGAAGGAGAGATGTGGGGTTCAGAGTCTCCCCATCTCCAGGCAGCGGGCAGCCGCGCCCCCGAGAGCCTCCGTCTTCAGACTGGAAGTGAGCCTGCCTTTCCTACCCGCCTGGCAGCCTTGCTGTGTAGCTTAGCTGCAGCGTCGTCTGTGGAAGGGCTTCCAAAGCTGTAACAGCAAGCAGTTAGGAGCGGCAGCATGTGACAGGTTTTTAAACGAGGTTATTTGTACTTGTCGAGTTCCTGCTTCAGTCCCCAGCTGCTCTATGGTGGACGTTCCTGGAGCCTCCTGGGGGGTCCTCTGTGTTCCCGGCAGGGAAGTGGCAGGGCTTCCGCCCTCGCAGAGTGGACGCCACAGCAGGCCACCTGACACTCTTAAGCTTTGCATCGGTTTCTGGCTTTTATAGCTTAAAAGGTAAAAAGAAAAACTTTGCTCTCTTATAATTTGATCCGTTGATGGGGGAAATTGTGTCATCACTATTTTTTAGAGTCTAACACTCCTTGACTCTTAAAACATGGTTAAAATAGTTATTTCCAGAAATAGGAAAACAGAACTTGTAATTGGTACTAAATCAGTGATGTTCTAAATCACACACAGATGATTGTTTTTACTGCTTTTCACTCACCTCCGTGTGACACAGGGGACGTGCATATGAATTCTAAGGCTGTAACCCTAAGGCTGTCCCCCAAGGCCTCCCCGGCGGGCTCCACGCTCTCCATGCGTCTTTGGGCGCCCGCCTGCCATGCCTGCTGCCACGTGGTGCTGCCCTTGACGCCACGGGCTCGGAGGTCGGACACGGGGGTGGCGGTGATGGCGGCGGTGGCCACGAGGCTGTGCTCAGTGCTCCCTCCTACACGATGGGTGCTGTGCTCCGTGCTTTATGCTAAAGCTCCGTAAGTGCTCACAACGGCTGTACAAGGCGGTGCCATGCCTGATGTATAGACAAGGAGACGGAGCCTCCGAGGGTTAAGTGCAGCTGAGGTCCGGCCGCGAGGGGCCTGAACGAGAGCAGGTCGCCGGCTGTGAACCGGCCGCTGCCCACGCCTTGCACCCTCTGCGGCTCCGGCCGCAGCCCTTTTCCCCCGCACGTGCAGCGTGTGCCCGGAAGCCTCGGAACGCGGCTTTGCCCTCGTGCGCAGCCGCGCTTCCTCTGCCAAGAGCTGCTCTCAGTGGGTCAGGGGGCGCTGGGCTCCTCGCTGGGGACGGGGGGCGAGTCCAGCAAGGAAGGAGATGAGTCAGGCTGGGAAATAGTCTCTCCCAGGGTGATGCTCGCACCCGGCCCCCGCCTCGGCTTCCCCTCCCCAGCCTGCTCGCCGGGCCTGGCCTCCTGCCCGCCCCAGACCCAAGGGGCCCAGGCTCAGCCAGCGCCCACCAGGCCTCCCAGACGCAACTGCCTGCTGGGGCGCAGCCGCGGCGTCGAGCAGGGCCCACCTGGGCCGCCCTGGAGTCGTCACGGGGGCTGGGGCGGGCAGGAGGCCGCGCCGGGGCTACCCTCTGGAGCCGCCGACCGGCCAGCGCCTTGACGGCGATCGAGGGCTTCACTCCGCGCCGGCAGCGAAACCAGGGCGTCATTTCCGGAAGGAAGGCAGCGGCGTGGTCCACACCCCCGAAGCGCGCTGTGCCCGTCGGTTTCGTTGCGCGTGTGGCGTCTCTCGTTGCTCTGGAGGTCAGGGGTGGGCGTGGAAGCCGCGCCTGGGAAGGGGGTAAAGAAGAGAGCACGAAGGTTTCCGTCCTTAGTGAGAAAGCCCGCCGAGGCCCCGCTCGGTGCTCGGGAAGCGCACACGCTTGTCGCGGGTGCAGGTGTGTGTGCACATGTGCTCGGAGCCCGCTGTTGGTCGCTGCCTCTCTAGCACACGTCAGGTGTTCACAGGTTCAGCGCGGGTTTCCCAAGTGAAAGGGGACGACCCGGGGCGGCAGCTAGAGTGAGATGCGGGCGGGCCCGGGGCAGCCAGGGTGGGTGAGAAGCAGACACCTGCCACCCGGTGGCCCTCGGCCCGGGCAGCCAGCGTCCCCCCTGCAAAGGGACACACTGGGATAGAGGTCTCCCGTTGCTTCCAGTCTGTGCCGCCCCGACCAGAGCGGCAGGGCACAGAGCCGGGTGTCCCAGGGCGCCGGGCTGGGGTGTGGGGACACGACACGGGCTCCAGATGGGTGTCTCGTCTCCACAGCCGTCACGTGGGAAGTGTTTAGGATGTGACATCCGCTGTCCAAGCCAGCCTGCAGAATTACAATTACAGGACGACCTCTGTGAAGGAAGTAATATGCCCTGAAGGAAGAACACTCCAGTACGTTAGAGGTGTGGGTAATGGGATTAATGGTCATTTTTATTCTCTGTCCAGGTCTTAACAATGTACGTGTTAGTTTTATAAGTAGAATATTTTTCTACTGAAAAAAAATTAAATGAGGACTACGGGGCAAAGGGAAGATAAAATTCAGACAGCAGTACGGTCGGTAACGTACAAGGTTTATGCCACACACAGGTTGGTGCTGAGGGTCCAGGTAAGCAGAGCAGAGAGGGACATAACACCAGTTATGGAATCCCCGGCATCGTTTGCTCAGAAGAAGCTGAGCTTTTCCTTATACGGAAGATTCACTGGAGAATGGTTAGAGCCTGTGTATTCAACCTGATGAGAGCACTGTCTCGATTTTTTAGGTGCGGCCCAGTTTTAGCAGAACATTACTCATGACCTTTACAAAACGGTCCAGGGTTTTCTCTGCTGTCTTTGAAATAGAAGGTGACAAGTAAGAACCACGTGGTGATGAAGTAGTAAATGTTTGGTTCAGATGTAGTGGTATCGATGAAGAACAAAATATACCTCGATTTAAAATAAGCATGCCCCATGGCTTAGGAGAGCCATCCCTGTCACACCACAGCAGCGGTACCTCTGCTCACCATCCCTGCCCCTCGGCTTCTCTGCGGGCCACTGCACCTCTGGGTCCCATCGGCAAAGAGCCAGGGAACACGTTTCTAAGCCCGTTTGCATGCGTCATGATGCCAGATCAGCGTGGGGTTTGGGTCGCCGCTGACGGGGACATGCCGCGTGGGTTTAAGTTCAGTGCTGCCCTGCCCTACAATTCGATTTCTGCAGCCTCCGCCCGCCCCACCTTAGCCCGGCTCGGGGCACCAGGTAAGGAAGTGCCCCTTCAGAGACCCTCACTGCCGAAGGAGCCCCTCAGGAAGGGACGTCGGTTTGCTCTCTTCTTGGTTGGACACCCTAATGAGGCAGAGGTGAGAGGGGCGTTTCTAGGAAGGGTTCATATCTTTACTAAAAAGGAATTCCAACAGATGGACCTGCTCGGTTATACTGTTTTACTTGTAAACGAAGTTAAGAACGGAAGAGAGAACAGACATTGTCCGCCCTCCCCCTGCCAGCTGCTCTAGGAAGCACCCAGCTGGGCGGGCCATCCAGCGTGACCACGCCCGCCGCTGCCCGGCTTCACCAGACGCCCATGGTCCCCACGCCCCTCTGTCCTGCCCGCTCCAGCAGAGAACAAATTGACTGGTGGCTTCATCAGATAAGATGGGAGTGGCTGGCAAGTGAGGGGAGGTGGTGGAGAAGGGGAGGTGATGGCTCCTAATCCCTGGTCGAGGCCACATCTCTGCCCTTTGCCATCGACTCACGCTCCTGGGCCCGGGTGTGCTCAGAGGGCCCAGAAGGAGGAGGTGACAGGAGCGTCCCTGTCGTCAGGGTTTGCATGATTTGTATCCTGACTCGGCTCACGGTGGAAATTTGCATGGTTGCAGATCCCAGAACAAAGACTTGGGAATGTCGACCACACCCCTCAGCAGCCCCAGCCCGGTGTGAAATCTGATGTGCCAGAGGTGACCCACAGTGTGCCGTAAGGTCACCCGAGTTGGCAGGCGGTCCCGCCCGACACCTGCATGATAGCCCAGCAGCAGGCAGCCCTCGGTGGAACAGAGAGGTCTGGAATCTCCATCCTGGCATTGTTTACCTTGGCATCGAAGGTTCTCCCTCTCTGACCTGCATGGAAAGAGAGAGCAGTGCTTCACGGTGTGATGCCCTGCCGAGGGATGTCCACAGGCCGTGGTTGGAGGGGCTTTGGACTCAGGCAGACGGGTGTTTCCAGGTGTGACCCTGACTCTTCCTGGTGTGGGGACCAGCCTGTGGAAGCCTGGGGAGGAGTGGTGTCACCAGCCACCTCCAGGCTGCTGTGTGGGTTAGATGACCAGCGACCTGGCACAGTGCGTGGTCCATGGGAGTGTTTAATATCCCTGCAGTGGCTTGGAGCAACTCCAAGAAGCCTCTTTTCACTTTGAAAAGCCTTTTTTTCCAGAAGGTCCCCTAGGAGACTGGTAGGGCTGAGAAGGTCCCAGAACTTTCCAGAGAAATCTAAGCCCCTCTAGGGAGACCTGCTCTCACCTCAGTCTGAACACTGCAGGTCATTAGTGAGTCCTTGGGTCCTTGAGTTAGGGCCGGCCCCCAGGGGTCCAAAGACTGGACGCTTTGTGCATAAACCCGGTCACTAGACCTTCCCCACCCACAGCCTGTGACAGGCTGACAAAGGACAGGACCAGGGCTCCTTCCCTGAGAGCTTTCCCACAAACCGAGGTCCCCAGACCACCCATACTGGTGTTGCCTGGAGCCCATCAGAAGAGCAGGGTTTGGGCTGCGCCCCGCATATGACTCAGAACCTGGAGTTTAAAATACCGGAGTCCAAGGTCATGCGTATGCACCAGGGCCCACGAACCCAAAAATGTTTGTAAGTGATCTTCCAAACCCAGGGTAACTGCAGAGAAGTCAGGGCATGGGTTTGGTCCCTTTAAATATGAGTAGGTGACACATTGCCTGTTTGAGATCAAGTGGTCCTTTATTTATTTATTTATCTATCTATCTATCTATTTATTTATGGCTGCATTGGGTCTCCGTTGCTGCGCGCGGGCATTCACCAGTTGCGGCGAGCGGGGGCTACTCTTTGTTGCGGGGCGTGGGCTTCTCGTTGCAGTGGCTTCTCTTGTTGTGGAGCACGGGCTGTAGGTACACAGGCTTCAGTAGTTGCGGCACTTGGGCTCAGTAGCTGCGGCTCGTGGGCTCTAGAGCGCAGACTCAGTAGTTGTGGCGCACGGGCTTAGTTGCTCCGCGGCATGTGGGATCTTCCTGGACCAGGGCTCGAACCCGTGTCCCCTGCATTGGCAGGTGGATTCTTATCCACTGCACCACCAGGGAAGCCCTGAGATCAAGTGGTCTTGGTTACATATGGAGTCAGGCAGCTGGGATATTCGTGCGAGGCGTATAGTTTTCTCCTTGGACAAAACAACCGAGCCCGGGCCTTCTGAGTCCATTGTCCTCCCTCCGCTGCTGTCCAGAGTGTTGACGGGGTCTGCATTGCTGGAGTGACACTGCCCGTCGCAGAACCAATCCAGGACAGCCCAGGACCCGCGGGTGGGGCGGGGGGTGTCGATGCAGCCTCTCAGCTCTGGTCACACCCACCTGCTGAAAGAACAGCGGGTCCAGAACCATCTCCCAGGCCCACATTTCCTCCTGGCTGCTCCCTATTCATGTCCAAGCAGCATCTTCACACACTCAAAACCACTGTCATTTCAGTATTGTAGTTACTTTCGGAAGTACGTGGCTTGCCCGGAGCCCAGCTGCTGCCGACCTGCCACCCCACGCTCGTGTTTCCGGAGCATCTTCCAGAATGGGTGCCGTGGGCGCGGCCCGCCTTGGTCGTTCTGGGAAGCAGACCCAGAACTGCTCACGGGCGTCTGACCTGCACCGGGACAGGAGGGGCACGCGGCCACGTTTGCCATCCGAGTAGCTCAGGCTTTGGGTGGGAGCGTTTCTACACTTTACGGAAACGACCTTCGGTAGATCAGCGTGCTGTTACTGTGACTGTGTGAAGTCATACGGGTGGGAACTCTCTCCCCCAGACACTGTTCTCCTGCAATTTAGCTCAGGCTGGAGGTAACTGTGGCCCCCCAGGTGGGTTGCCCAGATGTGTGGAGATGCCCTGCAGGGGGCCAGGACCACTCCCTGACCCCGCCCTCCTGGAGTCTGTGCTTCCCATGATTCTCTCATGCTCTTTTGTTGTGGTTGGTTTTGCTGTCAGGCCTGCCCCTCCCCCCACGTCCCATCCGTCAGCCCGTGAGTCGGGGCCAGGCCTCGGGCCCTCTGCACTGTGCGTGGCCCCCGGGGCTGGGAAGAGCCAGGCCTCCTGCGTTTCTTCTTCAGAACCTCTTAGTCCTTCTCTTTGTTCCTGTCCCTCCTCAATGGTACCTTCAAGACCTTCTTTCCTGGTCAGTGTCTGTTTTTATGATTATTTATCAGAAGACCGATTAGCTGAAAAATGTCATTTGACCTCGTTTGGACCAACTAGCTCATCTTTGAGGTTACAGTTTTGAAGCCCGGGTGTGTCCTGAGTGGTCACGGTAGGACAGGCCTTCGTGTTCACAGCGAACTGTCCACCTTTTGTGAGGCGCTGACCCTTGGCAGCAGAGGAGGCCCAGCTGGCCCGTCTCTGTGTGGATGGGACGAGGCCAGTGAAAGCCCGGAGCAGCTGCTTCGCTGGTCGTGAACTTCGCCTCTTGAGGGTGGGCCGTTTGGGGCAGTGCTGCCTTGCAGGGTGGCCCACTACACAAGGGGGTGTCTCCCCAAAGCACGTGGCCTGAAGTCGGCTGTCAAGGAAGCATGAGACCCCCGTTTTCACTTAGCACGTCTTTCTTTTCCTTCCCTGCAAACAGCCTTTACTATTAACACGTTTTTTCTCCTCACCCTGCCCTCCAAAAGGCTCTGCTCAGATCACCGTGGTAGCAACTTCTTTCAGGGAAACCAAATCACAGAGGAAGCGACTCAAGGTTATTAGCCGAACAGTAAAAACTATGTAAAGTGACAGATGCTCAGAATTTATTTGATACATTTAAAAAGGCTGCACATCTCAGGTGCCCTAGAGGAGCGAGACTGACGTTTTCACAGAAGTTAGTAATCATGCTCTTGTGGAACATGCCTGATGCTTTCCTGACAGACGAGAATATCTGCCCCACGTCGGGGGTCTCTGATGCTTTACGAGCGTCATAAACCCAAACCCCCCACCAGTCAGAGAGCAGCTCCCTGTTTGCCGTCATCTCCGTGCCTCGTGAGCAGCGAAGCTTAAAACGTGTCCCTGCGAAACGCTCCTTGACAAATGGGTTTCCATACAGAGAAATCTGCTTCTCCTGGAGTATATTGTGACAATGTCTAGAAGCAAATTCATTTCTGTTGTTCTTCCTTCCATTTCCCGCAGATCCTGACGAACTTGGAGCAGGGCCTGGCCGAGGATGGCGGCATGAACAGCATGGCCCCGGAGAACAGACAAGGTCAGTGCTGGACTCGCCTTCCTTAGACAGTCAGCCGGCATCGTCAGAGGGCTCGGCCCCAGAGGTTTCTCTGTCTCATTCTTTTCCTTCTCACTCCGTAATGCACTCGTCCTCTCATGCATTCCTCTCCTCAGTCCTTTCTTGGACCAAGCCAGGCACCGTGGTTGGTGCTGGCATAAGGCACGAACCCCGCTCTCGGGGAGCCCCATCAGGCCGAGACCCGCCTACAGCAAATAACCCCAGAAATCGACGTGAGCGTCCACAGCAAGGTGGGTGCCTGGCCCGCCCGCCCGTGGGGAGCCTGAGGCCCGGGCAGAGCTGGAGAGGAAAGGAAGACGGGGCCCTGCGTGTGGAGCCTCGGGGGCCAGGCTGTGGAAATGGGTCATTATGTGAGTGCTGGGCAGGCAGGGGCCGAACTGCGTTTTGAAAAGATTATCCTGGCTGAGATTTCTTGAGAACATTAGCGAGAAGAACTTCTAATCATGCTTCAAAACCCAGCTCAGATGGCACCTCCCTGAGAGGCTGGCACCTCTGCACATGAGCCTGTGGGCTTATGTGGTCTCCAGGGGCTCGGTGGTCCCCTGCTCTGCGCCTGACTTGGAGCGGCTGTCGGGGACCACGGGCGAGCACGGATGATGTAGGCAAGGGGTGGGCTTCCTCTGAAGCCACGCTGTGAGGAGACGGATGTGCCAGAAGCAGGAGAGGTGGCCTGAGAGGAGAACCCCCCGGGGCAGAGACCTGTGTCCATGCCTCGGGCACGGCGGGGCCCCGGGCGCCGTGCACCCCAGACGCGCTCGTGACTGTGGGAAAGGGGGAAGCATCCCAGGCAGGAGATGTCCATCCTCGAGGACCAACAGCTCTGGCTGCGTTTGTGCTTTAAACACAGATCCCTTTCTTTGAGAAATCCCAGGAGACCAGGTCTGTAGGTGCGATGTTCGTGCGTCCTTCTCAGTGATTTAAGTGCCGGTAGATAACAGGGGTCTGACGTGGGCATCTCCGTGCCCTGGGACATCCCGCCCTCAGCATCTTTCCCACTCTGGCCATGTCATCCCACGGGGGGTCCGTGTTTTGGTGGCAAAGAGCAGGTAGTCGTTGGAGCTCAGGAAGCAGTGCCCGGAAACCTGACAACTCACAGCAGGTCAACAGATTTATAAGCAAAGAGGGGAAGAAAGCACTAGAAAGTCCTCAAAGAGAATCAAAATCAAACTCAGTTCACTGAGAATCCACATTTTACATTGGTTAAGGAAAGATATTCAGAATTTTTCTTTTCACAAAAATGATGTCATAAGGGGAATGTAAGCAGCTAATGTATACTTAATTGCTGAAAGGCAAAGTGAGTTACGTTCTTAATTCTGACAATTAAGTTTTCTGTCCTTTTCTCAAGCACTCCAGGAATAAGCGTCATTTCTAGGAGACTGTTATCCCAAAATTGACCCTTGGTCCCGGCAGCGGGAGGAAGGTCAGCTTAAGGCAAGCTCGCCCAGTGGTCACCATTCACATGTGTCTGGGACGTGCTTCTCCCTGGGCCTGAGCCGGATGGCAGATTCAACATCTGACCAAGCACCGGCCTCTCCAGCCTCCCCGCCCCGCATCCGCTCCCCCTGCCCTCAGAGCCTGCTGAGGCAGATGGGTTAGGAATTGTCGCTTCCACTCAGAAGGTCACAACACCTAGGCCTTGGGCGGGCGGGCCGCCGTCACCAGGGCACAGCTGCAGACAACACCGGGGTGTGACCGTCCACCAGCCCTGCATCCGGGAGGCCTTCAGCCCATCCAGGTCACACCAGGAGTGGCCCCACTGCAGGGCGAGGGCTGTCGTCTTGGCCGGCTTCTCCCATCTTTTGGACGTGCCGACCTGGGGACATGGCCCTGGGCGGCTCATGGGATCTGCCCTCCCCGAGGCTGAGCAGGTCGCCAAGAGCACAGCCCAAGGTGTGGGCTGAGCAGCACAGGGAGCGGTGGCCTAGCCGGGTGACGGGGGCGGGGCGTCCGTCCGTCTGGGTCGGGCCGGCGGCAGGACCCGCTCCCCACGCACTCACCGTACCCCGCTCTTGCAGCCTCCGTGCAGCTGTGGCGGTCCCGCCTGGGACGGGTGACGTGCTCCATGGCCAACTGTCTGCTGCTCATGAAGGTATGATGTTCTCAGGGCGGGGCGGGGGGGACCGCTGGGACCTCGAGGTGGTGTGCGTGCGGGGGCGGTTATCGAGCAGAGAGGCCAGTGAGACACTCGGGATAAACGTGCTTTAATTTCTACTGAAAGAAATGTCAATAGAATGTAGAATTTACACTGCCAAGTTTAATTGTTCGAACAGGGCTCGAGATGATTTAATTGAAATCCTCCTCATGCTCTCAATTCTCTCTCCCTCCTGTTTTTCTCTGGATTCAGTCCCAGAGTTGGCCTCTGTTCCCCCCATTAGAGGAGGTGGTGTCCCTCGTCCTGACCTGACTTGCGCTCAATGGCCATGGCATCTGGGAACAGGCTTCCCCGGGAGATCTGCTCCTTAGCCCCGCCCCCCCCCCCCCCCCCCCGCCAGCCCCCGGGGAGGCGGCTGGGGGACGAGGAGGCTGAACCTAAGGCGTCGCTCCTTTGTTCCTCCATCCGTGCCTCCCTGGCAGGGCCCAGCGGCAGGGGCTGGAGGCTGCTTCCCGAATCAGTGAGCCGCAGACACCCAGAGCAGCTCCGTTAACATCTTCTGGGCCATTAAGAGGCCAGATCGTGGCCCTCCCACGGGCCCGCCCAGGGTCACTCCTGAGCTTGGTTTTAGCAGAGCAGAGCAGGCAAATGGCCGAGGGGAGAAGCGGGCTCCGGGAGCTGGTGTCTAACCCTGACAGGGCAGCCCCGCGAGGGGACCGCGTCCCGGGCCAGCTGTGGGTCCCGTGCAGAAGGCCACGCTGGGTGTGCACTCAGCTCCTGCCCCAGGGCCCTGCCTTCCGCGCGTCGCTGTGACCCTGGGGTGCAGACTGCCTCGCGTGCCCCTCCCACCCCCGAGCCCCGGGGACCTCCCCTGAAACGAAGGCCCATAAGGGATGCACTTGCAGCCCCCTTGGACAGCGCCTTGGGGTTAAGGCGCTCTGGTTCTCTCAGCTCCTCCCTTCCTGCCACCCTGACCCCTGACACAGCGCCCCGTCCCTCCCGCGGGTGGAGGGAAACCCAGGGCCACTGCCGCCTTCCTTCCGCGGAGCTCGCCGGCTCACGCACAGAAACAAAGGACACATCGTAAAGTCACGGGCAGATCGGTGTCTCCTTGGTCACGGGCTGGGACACCTCAGGAGGGTCTCCTGTTCCACTGGTGGCTTCGTATGTGCATTGTTAAGGCACATTAATAGAAAATTGTGGGATAAGAATATACCCTTTGTCTACTGCTGGGGTGATGATACCACCAGGCGCCGGACTAAGTCTTGTATCTACGTTGTCGGGACTCAGTACAGAACAGATCGCTGTGCTTCAAAGATACTTTTACCGCAAGTGCAGTTTAATTTGAGATTTTAGATTATGCTTTCATTTCCACGAGTTAAAAAAAGGAATGAAAAATTTTGCGGCTGAGGCGCCAGCACGCGTGCGCATCCTTTCGCCACCTAGTGAGCGAGCCCGGAATTAACAGCAGCGTCGGCCTCACCGGCGCGTCCCGTCCCTTCCGTTCGCGTATGGGCGACGCTGGGTTACTTCAGCAAACGCTTCTTATTCTGAATAACATTTCTGCTGCGGCGACGTGAACGCTGAGTCACCTTTTTAACGATGAGCCGTCTGTCCACACGCTCCAGCCCGAACGTGCGCCTGAAACACGGTCGCAGCCTGGGCACCCCAGCCCATCCGGGAGACTCGGGGCGCCGCGCCGGCCGGCTCCGTGCCCCGCCACACGGTGCAGCTGCTGAAAGAAGAGGGGGAGGACGGAGCTAGAGCAGTCGGTCCCCGCGGCCTGGACGGCGCTCGCCCTCAAGAGCACCCGTCAGCCGGGGCCGCATTGCCTCGTTTCCTCCGGGAAATAAACGATTTCGTTAAATGGTCGTCCGCTGACAAGCTCTGGGCCGCGCTCCGCTCTGGTTTACTGGAGGCCGGGCTCCTTGGAACCGCCAGGGCCCGGGCCCGGGCCCGAGGCTGCAGCCACCCGGGGCTGCCGCCCGGGCCCGGCGCCTCGTCTGAAAGCCTCCGCACGGGGTCCCCACGGCTGTGTCCGCCCAGCCGTGCTCTCCCAGGAGCGCCGCTCCGGCGGGACAGCGGCCGCATACCTCTCCGTAGCAGGCCGGAGCGCCGAGCCGTGGAGGTGTCAGGCGGCGACGCCGGCCACAGAGCCACCCGGAGACGCGGGCCGGGATCGGGGCGTGTGCACTGGCCTGACCCGGTGACACTTGGGCGCCGCCGGACACGAACGGCGAGGTGGCCTTTCGCTCGCCCTAAACCTGAAGCGAGGCGTAGACGTTCAGCACAGTGGGTGATTCTCAGATGCTCCGAGGTGCCCCCGTCTCCCCGCAGAAGTCCAGGGCTCAGCAGCGCCGGACCCCAAGCCGGGCCTCAGCGTCCCTCGGGCCCCAGGCACCGGGGGTCACTGCCGCCCCGAGAGCGGGCTCTCGGCACACCCTCACCCGCGCGCTCCCGCTGGGCAGGGCGCGGGCAGCGGTGCCAGGAGCCGAGGGGGACAGGCAGGTGCTGCCGGCTCGCCACCTGCACCAGTAAGTCCAGTTCGTTGTGAAGAGCTGCTCTTGAAGCTGCCAGACTAGAGAGTCTTTCCGGGTTTTTTTTCCCTGCTAAACTGGAATGTTTCTTGTTGTCTGTCTGACTTCATAACATCCCAGTTAGCGAACTAGTAACGCCTGTCCCAGTTTTCATGAGATTGAAAACGTAGACGACTAAAGAAAGAAAAGTACCTTGTGGGGTTTTACGAAGACTCAGTGAGGAGAACACTGCCGCGCGGCCTGCTGTTTGCTGACCCGGGAGACGCAGGGAGCTGTTCACACCAGCCCGGGACAGTGCCCACCAGCAGGTGGGACGGTGACCCTGCCGTCCGAGCTCGGGGCTGTTGGGGATTTGTCCTTGTGACCCTGGCAAGACGGCCAGGTGCCCTGGATGGCCTCCTCCCGCCAGAGCCAGCGAGCTCTCCCGGCCCACCTGTTTTACGGGGCTTATGTTTGTCTACATTTAAGAACTTTACCTCGAGTTTTAGTAAAGAAAATGTTTAAGAGACGCTATTAATAAATTCAGTTTCTGTGTCTGGCAGATGGAGGCAAGACAAAATTCACCAATTAAGGATTTTGTCAGAAAAGAAAGAGTGAGTCCAGGTGAAATACTAGTTGCTACTCAGAAGCTGGAAGAAGAAAGCTCCTCTGCCCTAAGTGCACAACCAGAGCCCCTCGGGGAGAGGAAGGCTCTCAGGACCGTAGTTACACACAGAACTCAGAGCCTGGTTTGCTGGGCCGTCTGCCGCCCTCACGGCGGTGCCACGTCCCACCTGCCCACGCATTCGTGTTCCCGCTTCACGTGCGAGTCTGCAGGTACCTGAGCTCCTGTAACGTGTAAAACAGAGCGTGATCCTCCTAACTCTAGGATGCTCTCTGGGTCCCCCACAGGATTACGTGCTGGCCGTGGACGCGTACCGCTCGGTCATCCAGTACTACCCACACCAGGAGCCCCAGCTGCTGAGCTGCATCGGCCGGATCTTCCTCCAGGTGTGAGCCGCGGTTGGCAGGGTGGGCCGGGGGTTGCCTTAGTGTGGATGCTGTAGATTTCAGAAAGAGAACAGGAAATACATCAAATCAGACTTCTGTGACTGTAGAAGGGGTAGTTTTCTTGGTCCTGGCTTGACTGTGCTCTGGGCTTTGACGTGATCAGGAAGCCAATTGCTAGACGTGCATTCTCGTAGATTTTCACCTGGGAAGCGCTGAGATGGATTCCTTGAGAAATTGCCCTGTTGCAGGTAGAAGTGTGTTGACATAACCGTCAGTACTTATTTTAAGTGGCTGATAACGTAGCCAAAGCGTGCTTGAATCCACGTGCGTGGACAAAGGAGGTCCCGCTTGGAGCCATGGTCCCGACGGTGCGGGAAGCCGGGACGTACCCGCTTTGCCAGGAATGGCGCTGAAGCCGGGGCGCATTTGGTGCCAGGGTGCCGGGCGCCCGTCCTCGCTCCTGTCCTCCCCACGACGACAGGCCCACACTCGCAGGCCGAGCGCGGGTGCCTCATCCCCGCACCCTCAGTCTCAAAGGGTGTCAACCGTAGCACCCGCAGCCTGGGCGGGAGCCTGATGGGGCCGTCCGTGGTGGTCCAAGCAAGGGGGATGGATGTGGGGAGGCGCTGGCCCTGAGCGGGTGCCCTGCTGGGCCATCCTCCACCGCCGTGTGACCGGCCCACTTTACAGAGGAGCAGACTGAGGCTTCCCGGGGCTCAAGTGACCTGCCTGAGGTCCCAGAGGTCAGGCCCACAGGAGGAATTTGAACAAGGTCACCCAGAGCCCAGGTTCTCTTCACTGATGTTGGTCCTGTCCTCCTGCACCTCCTGGCCACTGCGCACACGAATGCGTGCACACACGCACCCCACCTCCACCCCGTCCTCCACGCCATGCACAGACGCAAGCGCGCGCACACACGCAGCTCCCCCAGGGGGGCATCCAGAGACAACCCAACAGTGAGAGCCGCCTGTGTGTCGTCCAAGTCCCTCCCAGGATGCCCGGGGTCCCTGCTCCAGTCTCTGAAGCTTGACCTTCACTGAGTAACTCATGAACGTTGAAGAACGCGTGTTCTAGCATCTGAAAGACCCGGGTTTCTGTTTGTCCTTGGTGCTTACCTAGCCTTGACCCTGGGCTGGCCACCCTCCTGAGCTGCATCCTCTCCTCTGTGCACCAGGGACGCTCGTGGCTGCCTCTTGGGGTCCTTGTGCCGATGAAACGAGACAGCCGTGTAAAGAATGCTGTGCCCGGGATCTCGTGGTGCCCGGTTATTATCCTGATTCTCATACTAAAAGAATGTTCTGTATCTGCTCTAATTTCTCACTACTCAGGACAATCTCAGAAACTTCATTTCTGTCTTAATTTGCATAATTTGAGAAATGTATGCCGGAGATCCATCTAGGAACCCTGAAATATGAAAGCACAGTCTTTCTGTGACAGTCACGGACCTGACGGCCCAGGGGAGGGACCCTGACGGTCAGACTGGGGCTTGGTCGGTGCTTCCCTGGAGACGTTTCTGGCCACAGAAGTATTCACATTTGCGCCTCCAGTATGTTGGGCTCCCCGGGGAAGTGTCCCCAGATCTCTGCAGTTATCGTTATAAGTGAGATTGGTCTGGGTTTGTGCGTGCATATGCGTGTGTGTGTGTGTGTGTGAGCGTGCCCTTCTCAAAAGCATTTGGTATCTGTGTTCTGTCTTCATAAAAATAGCTGCTTGCTTGCTTTCTCTGTCCTCTGGGATATTTTGGACACTCTGGAATTACATGTTCCTGGGAGATTTGAATAACTGACCTCAAAGAGGTCTCAGCCACCCTCCTAGGATTTGTTGGATAACTTAATATTGTTACTAATGGCTTCAGTGTTCCACGCGTGAGGTTTTTCTCTCTGCTTCTGGGATCGATTTTGGCAATTTAGAGTGCCGAGGAAATCCCGTTTGGTCTGTGTATTCACATGTGTTTTTGCTTAGAGTTCGGTAAGATATAGCCTTCTTTCATAATTATTTCAACTTCACTTTAACTATAGTTATTTCTCCTTTTACATTTATAATTGTTTACTCATGCTTTCTTTTCCTTGATTAGTTCATCCACTTATTATCTGTTGTTTTCTTCAAATAACTAGTTTGGGTTTGTTTATTTGCTTACTAGATACTTTGCAATATTTTTAATTGCCTTTTTATATTGTTTAATTTTTTACGCTGCCTCTAAGTCTTAGAAAATCAGTAGGATTTTAAATCCTAATTATGTTTTAATAATTATGAAGATGTGGACTTCCCTGGTGGCACGGTGGTTAAGAATCCGCCTGCCAGTGCAGGGGACACGGGTTGGAGCCCTGGTCCAGGAAGATCCCGCACACCGCGGAGCAACTAAGCTCGTGCACCACAAGTACTGAGCCTGCGCTCTAAAGCCCGCGAGCCACAACTACCAGAGCCCGCGTGCCTAGAGCCCGTGCTCCACAACAAGAGAAGCCACTGCAGTGAGAAGCCTGCGCACCGCAACGAAGAGTAGCCCCCGCTTGCCTCAACTAGAGAAAGCCCGTGCACAGCAACAAAGACCCAATGCAGCCAAAAATAAATTAATTCTTTAAAAAAAAAACAAATACAAGGATGTGAACTTACCTTCTAATGACCAGAAAAATCAGTAGGTGGCAAAGAAAATTCTAAGATTCCTTCGTCATCTCCCACTAGAAAATAGTTTCAGCGCAAGTCCTGTACCAGCTCCTTGAGGCTGTGCTGTGCAGAGGGCCAGCACGTGGTCTGGGAGTTGGACAGTCCCATTCTGTTATGTTAGCTTTGTGACCTGAGGAAACCACCCAGCCTTTCTGAGCCTCATCTTTTTAATCCAGAGAGTGAAGAAAGGAGTGGGACCAACAGCACAGCTTGTTAGAAGTTGTGAGCTGTGGGAAGCACTTAGCACAGCACCCAGCCGACATTTAGGGCTTGGTGCACCTTTGTTATCATTTGGTGAGCGTCAGTATCTCCATCAGTATGCCCCTGGGCCCTTGGAGGATGCACGGTAAGTGAGCGCTCTGCGGGGAACGCAGACGTTCAGGCCTCTGTGGGGGACCCCGGGTGCTCCCACCGTGTGCGTGAGGGTGGGGCCAGTAGATGCGCGGATGGTGCCACTTTGTTTCCTCCTCCTGGGGGGGTGTTTTTCGGGGCAGCATTGACAACAGAGAGGGGCCGGAGACCGTGAGGGTAGCTTGATGGGCGCTGGCTGAGGACTCGAGATCCCCGGGTCGGCGACGAAGGGCGCTCATTACTCATAGCAGCAGCAGTGCAGCCAGTGTCATTGTGTCACCAAACACCAGGCCCTGGTTTCCCAGCGTAACGTGAAGGGGCCGGGTGCTGCCTGCAGGGGTCTCACTGTGGAGAGTAACCCAGACCCTTGGTGCTGGGTGGTGGGCACGCCTGCCCTTGGCTGCAGGGAGGTACCGCGGGCTTCCCTGGAAGGAAGGGGAAGGGAACAAGCGCTCCCGGCAGGTGGCTGGAGGACCCCGGGAATCGGGATGGGGCTGAGTGTGCAGAAGAGAGGGCACTGACGCTGCAGCTGCGATGCTGTCCCCTCGGCAGATGCAGAGACATCTCGTGGTGTGTTGTAACGAGATGCCCTGGAGTCAGCTGCTCCAGAGCTGCTCCTTTAGGCCTGGAACACAGAGGCCTTTGTTCTTCCTTCACCCTGGTCGTAAGGTCTTTGTTTTCACAGGGTTTTCATTTTTCCTGTATTTTGCAGTCCAAGCCTTAGCTCATTGATCTCCTTCCTCGTGCAGAAGGAGACCCGATTCCCTCTTAACCCCCCGCCCCCCAGGCTGTGGTCCGCAGCGATGGCAGGACGGGGGAGGGGGTTTAGCCATCAGGACCCCCAGTGGCTCTGGCTTCATTTTAGAGGGAGCTGAGGAGGTCTCCGTAACCGTTTGCTAAGAGCGCGGCCATTTGTTTGCACGATAGAATTCTGTGTTATTGGGTCAGAATATGACTGAAATTTGTTAGTTTGATGACCTCTGTCATTTTACTGGTCACAAATAACCCCCCAGTAATTGATTGGGAGACTGTAATATTATACCAAAAGGTAAATGTTGTACTTTTTTAGTCATTCTTTTTTTTTTTTTTTTAACGATAATATCAAGCTTAATTTGCCAAATATACAAGTGGGACTTGTGGGGCATGTTTTGCCTGGGTGCTAGTGGCAGAGGTTTCTTGAAATGATCCACAGGCAGGTTTAAGAACGGGCCCGGGGCCTGGCCAGAGTCAGGAGCCAGGATTCCTTTTGAAGGGTACAAATTAAAAGCTGTAAGAGACCTGTTAACACGCACGTGTATTAACCATTCCCTCTGACATAGAGATAGACGGTGGCGCCCTGCTGTATCCTAAATGGCTCTTGCTCTTTTTGGTAACAAAAAGTGATAATCAGTAAATGGTTATACCAAAGTTTTACCCTGCCTGATACATAACATTAGGAAACTGTGTATGTGGGTTTAGATTGAACATTTGTCAGCTGAACTGACTACATAATTTTGTCAAAGCAGATTGGAGACATAAAGACAGCTGAAAAGTACTTTCAAGACGTAGAGAAAGTAACACAGAAACTGGATGGACTGCAGGGTAAAATAATGGTTTTAATGAACAGGTATGTATTTTTCCTTCCAGTTTTACTGAGATATAATTAACTTACAGCCCGGTGTAAGTTTAAGGTGTGCAGCATGATGATCTGATTTACATACTGACATCATGAAGTGAGGACCACAGTAAGTTTAATGAACATCCGTCATCATATGTAACGTACGGCCGTGTTAACTGTGTTCATCGTGTTGCACACTGCATCCCTAGTACTTATTTATAACTGGAAGTTTGTACCTTTTGACCACCTTCATCTAATCCCCCCTCCCCCCTCCCCTCCACGGGCAACCACAAATCTGATCTTTTTCTGTTTGTTTGAAGTATAATTGCCTTGCAACACTGTGTTAGTTTCTGTTATACAACATAGGGACTTGATATTTCTATAGCTTTCAAACTGTCACCACCATTAGTCTAATTATGACCTGTCTCCACACACAGTTCTCACATTGTCACTGACTGCATTCCTCCCACTGTGTGTTTCAGACCCGTGACATGTTTATTTTGCACCTGAAGTTTGTCCCTCTATATCTCCCTCCCTTGATCACCTGTTTCTGTCCTCCCCTCACCCACCCCACTTCTGGCAACCACCTGTTTGTTCTCTGTGTCTGTAACTCTGTTCCTGTTCTGTGTTTGTTCGTTTTTAGATTCCACATATAAGTGAAATTGTACAGTATTTGTTTTTCTCTGACTTATTTCACTTAGCATAATGCCCTCTAGGTCCATCCATGTTGTCACAAATGGTAAGATTTCATTCTTTTTTATGGCCAAGTAATATTGTAATATTCCATGCACTGCACGCACACCCCTTTATCCATTCATCTGTTGATGGACACTTGGATTGCTTTCTGTATCTTGGCAGTTGTAAATAATGCTGCAGTGAACGTAGGGGTGCATGTATTTTTTTCTAATTAGTGTTTTTATTTTCTTTGGATAAATACCCAGGAGTGGAATTGCTGGCTCATACGGCAGCTCTGTTTTTAGTTTTTCGAGGACCCTCCATACTGTTGTCCACAGTGGCTGCACCAGTTTACATTCCCACCAACAGGGCACAAGGGTCCCCTTTCTCCACAGCCTCACCACCACTTGTTATTTGTTGTCTTTTTGATAACAGCCATTCTGACAGGTGTGAGGTGATATCTTATTGTGCTTTTCATTTGCATTTCCCCGACGATTAGTGACATTGCGCATCTTTCCATGTGTCTGGCCATCTGTATGTCTTCCTTGGAAAATTGTGTATTCAGGTCCTCTGCCCATTTTTTAATCAGGTTTTTTTGATGTTGAGTTGTTTGAGTTCTTTGCCTGTTAACCCCTATTTGATATATATCAGTTGCAAATATCTTCTCCCATTCGGTTGGCTGCCCTTTCATTTTGTTGAGTTTCCTTCACTGTGCAAAAGCTTCTTGGTTTGATGTAGTCCTGGCTGTTTATGTTTGCTTTTGTTTCTCTTGCTTGAGGAGACAGAGCCAAAAAACTATTGCTAAGACTGATGTCAAAGAATACTGCCTGTATTTCCCTCTAGAAGTTGTATGGTTTCAGGTCTTACATTTAAGGTTTAAATTCATTTTGAATTTACTTTTGTGTGGTGTTAGGAGTCTAGTCTGATTCTCTCGCATGTAGCTGTCCTGTTTATCCGACACCATTTATTGAAGAGTTTTTTCCTCATTGTATATTCTTGCCTCCTTTGTCACAGATTAATCGACCATGTAAGTAGGGGTTTATTCAGGTCTTCTGCCCAGTTTTTAATCTTTTTTTATGTTGAATTGAATGAGCTGTTTATTTTTTTTTAGTATTTATTTATTTATTTGGCTGCATTGGGTCTTGGTTGTTGTGGCACACGGGATCTTCGTTGCAGCAAGTGGGCTCTTCGTTGCAGTGCACGGGCTCTCCAGTTGAGGCATCCCGTGGCATGTGGGATCTTAGTTCCCCAACCAGGGATCGAACCCGCATCCCCTGCATTGGAAGGTGGATTCTTAACCACTGGACCACCAGGGAAGTCCCTGAATGAGCTGTTTATATATGTTGGATATTAACTCCTTATAGGTCATATCAGTTGCAAATATTTTCTCCCACTCAGCAGGCTGCCTTTTCATTTTATCGATGGTTTCCTTTGCTATGCAAAAGCTTTTAAGTTTAATTAGGTCCCATTTGTTTATTTTTGCTTTTATTTCCTTTGCTTTAGGAGACGGATCCAAAAAAAATATTGCTACTATTTATGTCAGAGAGTGTACTGCCTACGATTTCCTCTAGGAGTTTTTTGGTTTCTGGTCTTATATTTAGGTCTTTAATCCATTCTGAGTTTACTTATTTTTTTGTATGGCATGAAGGGATGCTGTAATCGCTTTTTTTTTTTTTTTTTTTTTTTTTGGTGGGGGGCGGGGCGCCTGGGGCCATGCCACAGGGCTTGCAGGATCTTAGTTCCCTGATCAGGGGTCGAACCTGGGCCCCAGCAGTGAAAGAGCCGAGTCCTAACCACTGGACTGCCAGGGAATTCCCTCTAATTTCATTCATTTACATGAGGCTGTCCAGTCTTCCCAACACCACTTGCTGAAGAGACTTTTCTCTGCTGTATATTCTTGCCTCCTTTGTCATAGATTAGTCGACCATAGGTGTGTGGGTTTGCCTCTGGGCTTTCTATCCTGTTCCATTGATCTATGTCAGTTTTTGTGCCAGTACCATACTGTTTTGATCATTGTAGATTTGTAGTATAGTCGGAAGTCAGAAAGCGTGATTCCTCCAGCTCGTTTTCTTTCTCAAGATAGTTTTGGCTCTTTGGGGTCTTTTGTGTTTCCCTACAAATTAAAAATTTTTTTGTCCCAGTTCTGTGAAAAATGCCATCGGTATTTTGATAGGGATTGAATTAAACTAACAGACGTCAGACCCGGTGCAGTTTGCTCCCCAGAATGCCCTGTCCCCTGCCACATCCGGAAAGCAGTGACACCACCTGGCTCGGGTGACGCCTGAGGGGCCAATGCTGCCTGGTCCTCCCCGTGGGGTTCCAGTTCTGGGAGCTGCCCTGTCGGTGTTGCTGCCACGCACCTGCCTGCATCCTGACTTTCCTGGTTAATCCTCTGTGCATTGCTTATTTCCAGAGCTTTCCTTCACCTCGGTCAGAATAACTTTGCAGAAGCCCACCGATGCTTCACAGAGATTCTAAGGATTGACCCAGCAAATGCGGTGGTAAGACATCCGAGCAGAGGTGGCTCCCCCCCACCCCGTGCCCCCCGCCCCTCCCAACAAGTCTGCCGGCATCAGGCACTCTCATGGGGGCCAGGGAGGTCCTCGGGCCCTGTGAGGCCACATCCAGTCCCGCGTGTCCCCCTCCAGGCCAACAACAATGCGGCCGTGTGCCTGCTCTACCTGGGCCGACTCAAGGACTCGCTGCGGCAGCTGGAGGCCATGACCCAGCAGGACCCGCGGCACTGCCTGCATGAGAGCGCACTCTTCAACCTGACCACCATGTACGAGCTGGAGTCGTCCCGGAGTCTGCAGAAGAAGCAGGCTCTGCTCGAGGCCGTGGCCAGCAAGGAGGGGGACTGCTTCAACACACAGTGCCTCAAGCTGGCCTAGTTCCCGCCTGACGCCCGAGCCGACAAACCCCCGCCCTGGCGTCTGCGAGCCGGCCTTCTCCATCCAGCCGAGGCCCAGGCCGCTCCGGCCGTTTGCACATGCGGGGTGAACATAACCCAAGGGAGGGAGGGGGTCCAGGGCGCCTCGGCCCCTCCTGTGCATTCCTGGAAGCTGACTTGCTTCGTGTGCTAAGCTGAGCCACGTAACACAAACCGTTCTCGCTCCGAGCCTGAACGTTCTAGAGGATTCACAGATAGATAGATAAGGGGGAAGAGAGACCATTTGTCCCCGCCGGCGTCCCAAAGCGAACCGCGTCCACTCAGCTCCTTTCCCAGCCCGTGCTGGTCACCTCGGGCGGCCTGGTGAAGGGTGAACGAACCCGTCCTTCCTCCTCCTGTATTTGTACATCAGAGGGAGCGGGGGCGGGGACGCCTGGAGGTGGGTTCCGGAGAACTCGGGGCCCTACTGCACAGAACGAGGGCGGGTCTCACAGCGCGGACACTGTCCTCTCAGGTCTGAGGGTCAGGGCGTCTGCAGTCCTGTTTACACGGTCACTCCTGCTTTTAAAGTCTCTGAAGTACCTGAGTGCTTCTTCACTAAAGAACTCTGGCCAGGGTCCTTTAAATATCCAGCTTTTCTAATAAATACTCTTTAAAATGGAACTCACTTTAAAGACTCTGAGATAAACATCTATTGCATAGAGCAAAGCGAAGCTGTATTTCTGGTCATTTTTGTAATAAAGTAAAAACACAAGTGCAGCATCTACCGGGCAGATGGTCCCAATGCAATTGTTGAAGTACAGCTTCATTACACATTAAAACAGGAGAAAAGATGAGGCCACCAAGAGGACTGTGGGATGCCAAGGAGGTTCTAAAATCGTCTCTTTTCAAGAAGAAAAATCAGAACTCCTTATGTTTCAAAAGCCCCAAAATACGCCATTTTAATTTCTTCACCTTGAGGGTTTTCCTTCAAATCTGGCGGCGGGTGCAGGGAGGGGAGGTGCTGGTATACAAGGCTCGGCCTCCACCTTGAACCTGCACGGGGCGGGAGGCATCCGCTCGGATTCCGGAACCGTCCTTCCCGGGTCAGCTGTGTACAGAGCGGGTAACACTGCACAGGCTCCCGGGGGTGGAGGCCAAGCCAGTCAGAAACCGGACTCCAGGTTCCCCAGTAAATCAGTATTTGCATCCTGGACGTACCCTCCCCGACCCCCATTCCCTCCGGGGGCGTCGAGACAGGCAGGGCAAGCACTAAACCCCTGCCGTCTGGGGCTCGCTGGGGCTCCGCACGTTTGCAGATCCTCAGAGGCAGCGAGGGAAGCGTGCCCCGGGTGTCTGTAAGGTCTGGGGTAACAGCTGTACCGTATCTAGTTCGCACTCCGTTTTCCGTCCGCCCATCACAGACTCCTGGGAAGCGCCCAGAAAGCTCTTCCCGCACAGGCTCCCCAAAACTCACAGTTTGAAGCCCTCACCCCAGCGTGACCGTCTGTGGAGACGGGCCTTCGAGGAGGTGACACAGGTGAGGTGAAGTCACAGGGTGGGGAGGAGAGGCCACGTGCGGACTCAGCCATGGAGCGAGGCCTGGGAGCGGCCAGCCCTGTGGCACCCGGAGCTCGGACCTCCAGGCCCCAGAGCCGCTGTTGGTGGCATCTGTCACAGCAGCTGAGCTGGCAAGACACCCACTCCCCTCCCTGCGGTCCCTGCGCCAACGCTGCGGGCAGCCCGCGGGGGAGCAGGGCCCCTGCCACCGCTCACCTCCGCACTTCCATGACCTGTGTCCTGGACGGCGCGGGGCGGCCTGTCCGCCGTGGCACCCTCGGGCCTGGGACGGCGCCTGCAGCCGGTGAGCCCAGGAGTGACTGAGCCAGCACGAGCCAGTTCGAGCCAGTCCGAGACGGGGCCAGCCCCCCCCACCCCCAGCCAAATGCTCACCAGGCGGGAGACCTGACAGTCCATGAACCTCGTCGGGATGCACACCCAGACCTGGCTTGTAGGAGCAGAAAGAGATGAGCTTTTCTGGAAAAGAAGTTTGCAACTGAGTCAAAATTTTACAGTAGGGGAGTGGTTTCACCAATTGCCCCATATTCCTAAGACGCGTTTATATGCAAGACCATGTTTAAAAAGTTAATGACATGGAAAAGTACTCAAAAGAAATGTATATTTACGTAATACGTGCACATGTTAACAGAAGGGACTGAAAAGTAATACTAGATGTTAAATCACAGTCACAGCAAAAGGATGAGCACAATGGCATTTTTATTTGCCCTTCTGTGACTCTGAACCTCACATTTTTCCACATTGCGTGTGTGTGTGTGTGTGTGGTTTTTATAACCAGAGGGGAAAAAATCATCAAAATTGGTAAATGTTTTGCCTTTAAAAAATAAAAATTGATTTAAAAATTATAGTGATAGTGTGACATGCTCTATAATTGAACAGTATATACAGCGATTAAAAGGAATGGTCTCGACGTGTATTCACATGGACATATCCCAAACCTCAAATAATCAAGATTAGGATTGTATATACAATGAAATGCCATTTATTTTTAAAATACAAACATTGTTTGTAGGTACACGTCTGCAGAACTGGAGAAAAACAGGTGCAGGAACCACGTGGCTCAGTGAGTGTCCCAGGGGAGCGAGGAAGGGGCTGGGGGATGGTCCTGGGAGACTCACCGGTGTCTGCAGAGCGCCAGTCCTTTTTTTAGAATGGTGGTTTTTTAATGTCACCCTTTATGCGTTCTCTCGATTTCTGGCAATACAAAGTAATTGACGCCTGGTTGCAGACGGTTCCCACTGCTGCCACGGAAGGCCAGCCGGCCCCTGCGGGTCGGGTGTCACGACACTGGGACACTCAGACAACCTCGTCATCCTGGGGCCTCAGCGGCCCACGGGGAACAGCGCTAGTGCCCTGGGAGGGGCGAGGCCTGGCCTGGCGGTGGGAGCCGCAGTGCAGGGCTTTCCAGGCTCCACAACCCTCAGGGCCCGGGGAGGAGAGAGCACACAGGAGCGAGGGAAGCAGGGTGAGGAGAGTCGCTTCACCAACAGCCTTGGCGGGAGAGCTGATGCTGCTGGACCGCAGGTGCCCAAGACCCACGGCCCACAAGGGTGTGCGGCACCCTTCGCGATCACGGAAAGCAAAGCCAAACCAAAAACCGGGACACAGCGTCAAGTGTCCCCCGTCCGGAATACAAATACTTCAATCCATACCGTATACTCGAGAGCCGCAGAGAAAACGTCAGTCATTCCTTCCACGTGCTGACGCTAACAAGATGTGCTGTTCAGGAAAGCAGTCTTGCACCCAGCAGTGCTGGGGCCACACCCAAGGTCTACAGTGCATTTTCCAGGGGCGTGGCTGGGGCCCATCGGGGGAAGGGGGCTTCACACGCTGCCTCGGAATTATCAGGGTTAGCGACGCGTGTGTTCACTGTGACACTCGCCTGCACGTGCACTTGCACGCACACAGGACAGGCTGTGTGGGATGATTCCCTCACATAGACCTGTGGAGCCCGGGACGGTCCCTCCGTCCACTCGCCCTGGACCCCACGCAGCGCACGCTGCCAGCTGCGCGTGAGGACCAGGCCCGGCCGACACGGAGCTGGGCTGCGACCCCGAGACCCCGGCCGCCACCTGGGGGAGAGGGCCGCTCATTCAGCGAGGTCAGCTGGGCCACCAGCGCTGTGATTCAGTGCAGCTTCCACGGCCTTGGGTCCCCTCGCCTCGTCCTCACGGCCAACCCCAGTCACTCCCAACAGCGGGGCATCTGGCGGGTGCCGGGCAAGGTGGGAGAAGGCGCGGGAGAGACTCACTTCAGCCAGGAAGACGACGGAACAGCCCACGGAGGACGCCCCCTCGAGAGGGCGCCGATGTGGCCAGCAGACAACACGGGCGCCCAGGGTGACTGCGATGCTAGGTGGCCACGTGCGGCCAGACAGCAGGGTGGACTCCGGCCACCAGTCAGGAGCCTTCAACTAAGGATCCCTCCAGGAGGACGTGACCCAGGTGCACCCATGCGGGGGGGGGCCGGGGACCAGCGGAGCTGGGGGACAGCGACGGGGGCACCGACAGACACGTTCCTGGGGCAGGACCGGCAGGGCCGGCGGCGACGGGGAAGGGTTCTGGTTTCAGAGACGGGCGCCGTCCACAGGACGACAACCTGGGACACCTGCGAGCAGCGGGGACGGTGCCCAGGGCTCCATCCTGGCCCACGGGTGTGCCGGGTCCTCCCCAGCACCGGGGAGACGCCGGCCTGGGGCCAGCCCTTGCTCACCGCCTGCACGACCGTGGGTGGAAAGCTGAACCCTCCCAGCCCCGGGGTCTCATCTGAAAGACTGGGTTAGTTTCCCAAAGCTGCCGCAGCAAATCACCACAGACGGGGCAGCTGGACACCACCCGTGTCCCCCATCTCACATGCAGGCCAGCGGTGCGCACCCCAGGCGTCTGTGAGCCCGGCTCCTCTGGGGGCTCCGGCTGCAGCCCCCTCCTCGGTCCTCAGGGGTCCTCACACGTCTGCCTCCGTGGCTGCTCTTCTTGTAAGGGCCCCAGGCCTCGGTTCAGGGCCCGCCCTCACCCAGGAGGACCTCACCGAGAGCCCTGTCCAATCACATCTGCAAAGGCCCTATTTCCAAATAAAGTCACGCTCTGAGCTCCCAGCTGGCGTGAGTTTTCGGTGGTTAGCGTCCAGCCCACGACCCCTGCTGGTAGCACTCTCAGGAGGATTAAAGCGGATTTGTTAGATACCCGGGGACAAACCACCTGCCGGGCTTCTGGGTCCGCGCTGGCAGCCCCTCTGCCTTACACCCTCTACAGCCCCCAGGGAGTGTGGCTCTGCCAGCGTGTCCTTGTGTGCCCCCTCCGTGCCCCGCAGGGGCCATCGATAACGTCGGGGCACCCCACGTCCTGCCTCACCAGACAGCCATCAGGGTTAATTAACGATGGGGCGGGCCCGAAAACATGGGTGCAAAAGCAAATTGCATTGATTTCATTGTATCCTTTGCTGCGCTCCTGTATCACTCAGATGAGATCCCCTTCGGGCTTTAGAACTGGGGATTTCTTGGAAGAGTTTGTGCAAAACAAACACAAGCATCTTAAACCTGGAAAATAAAAGGCATTAAAATACAATAACAAGACGAAGGCAAAGGAGGGGGTCTGAGCGGAGGGCTTCTTTCCTTGGAAAAGCAGACCTCATTCCACAACAGGTCGCTGTGCACACAGGCCCAGGGTGCTGAGCTGCAGGACGAGCCAGCCCCAGACCCACCGACCTGGGTGCCCTCCTCCCATCAGGACCCTGGCCGCTACCGCATTTCAGAGGGTGCTTTGAAAAATAACGACTTCCTAAGGCAGAAACCTGAGAACACCTGGGAACTCAGAGAAGCAGCACCTGCTCCCTGGGAAGCTGCCTAAGGTTCTCCCAATGCAGCAGGGCGTGGCTACGCCAACAAGCAGCCCCGGTCCCCCAGGCTCCTCCCCTGCCTCCAGAAGGGCCCCTCCCGCCCCAGGGCCCCCAAGCACACACGGGGAGGATGCACGCTGGGAGCTTGCAGCACCCTTGTCCGGGGCTGGGGTGCGCGCGCGCCCACGCTCAAACATCTGTGGAGTCAGATTTCCCATCTTCGTCAGCAGGATTAGGGCTGTGCGATTCAGTCCCGGTGCTGAGCTGCCCGGCAGCCTCGACAGCCAGGGGAGCCCCCTTGGTCAGCGGAGGGCTCTCCACCGCTCCTGGATGTGGGAGGCCGGTGTTCTGCACCAACACGAGGAGCCTGGCTTCATTTTCCAAGGGAAAGCTCTAGAGCTTCCGCTGTCAGTGTGCCGTGGACCGGGCGGCCGCAGTGGGGCGGCGTCAGGAGGGGCCCACGAGGGGTCGGTGCCGCAGACCCCAGGGCTGGCTCTCCCTCTGCACCAGGAAGGGGCCCCCCAGAACCCGACCTGCCGGCCCCTGCTCCTGGTCTGCAGCCCCAGAGCTGCGGGAACTCGGGGCCTGTGCTGCGTCCCGCGCTGGTGGCGGGGACGGACGGAGACACAGGGCTCGGCCCGCGTCAGGCGGCTCCGGAGCGGCTGTTCCCTGCGGCAAGGCCTGCGGCAGCCCTCACTTCTGAGGCGCTGCAACCCGCAAAGTAAGCGTGAACCCTGCTCTGATCCGCCTCCAGGGGCTGCTGCCCTCGCCCGCGGGCCTCCGGGCAGGTGTGTTAGAGCCCAGGGAGACGGGCTCCTCCTTCAAGCGACATAGGCCGCGGTTCCTCGCCCTGGCGTGGAGCCCGAGCGGCTCTGCCCCACATCCGGGAACGGCGCGGCTCCTTCCGCACGTGGGAGACGCCCGCCGCCTCTCCTCCGAGCTCCCGACCCAGAACGCCCGCCCCGGGAAGCGTGCGGCGGGAGCTGGGCAGAGACTCACCCCTCCCGGGCAGTGGGCTGCGAGCAGCGAGGCCCCAGACCCGTCTGCACCGAGTTCCCCGGCAGGGCCGACCTGCGGGACTGAGGGTCAGGCACCTGCCCGTCACCCGGATGCACTCCCGCCAGCCCTGCGAGGCCTGAGCTCCAGGGAGCAGCACAGGATCGGGGTCCCCGGTGGGACGAGGCCCATCACCTGGGCTAAGCCTCGTTAGCAGCAGGCGTCAGCCCTCCCCTCAGCACCTGCCCACCAGCCTCCACGTGACCCCCCGCCAGCCGCGAGCGCCACCTCCTCCTGCCCTGCTCGCGTGTCTGAGCTCTGGCTCTGCCTGCAGGGTCGGGGGGCTCTGCCTGCAGGGACGGGGGCCTCTGCCTGCAGGGTGGGGGGGCTCTGCTCCTGACTTCCGGCCAATCAGCCCGCACCACCACCTGCTGCGGCTGGGCACCGCCCCCGCTCCCCCGCTCGCGTTCCTACCAGTCACCCCATCAGTACCTCCTTAAAGAGACTGACTCCACCTCCACTCAGGATGACTCCTCCCAAGGAAACTGAAAAGCCGTCTGGGGCTTACCAACAATTTGGTCCAAACGAACGCTTCCTCGCAGTTCACTAAGGACTGCCACCAGCTTCCGGGTGTGAACGTCTGGTTTTCCTGAGCCGGGTGGGAACCGGAGGGTGGGGGGTGAGAGGCGGCCGGTGAGCAGCCCCCGTAAGGGCGTCGGCCGAGTGGCAGGGAAGCCACACTAGACAGACAGGAGGCTGCACCCGGGCTTCGCACATGCGACTGCCTCGTTCTGGCAAGATCGGCATCCGACACTTCCATATTTTAAAGCGCTGCTTTGGTGCAAGAATTCAATCTAGCAGCCGTGTTTTCTCAACCAAAACTTAGGACATGGGGCCCGGGGACAAGACACGAGAAACAGGGACCCAGAAAGCAAACCGAGAGAGACGTGGGATGGCTGCGCCCCAAGCCCCCCGCAGCCCTTCCTGCTTCACCCCGGTTCCAGTCCTGACGAGACCACCGCACTCCCTTCTGTTAGGGACCGACTTAGGCGTCTTAATGAGAGTTCAGACGAGTAGCTTACTGTGCTCTTTGTAGCCAAATTATCAACTATATATGGACAAAACTAAACACGTAACCAGCAATCTATAATTTTACTATCCAGAGAAAGCTACTGAGAAGATTTCTCTGTGCGTACTGTATGTATATTGTTACCGAAAGGAGACTGCATTTCTTCTCTCAATAGATTATAAATAGCTTACATTTCAAAACGTATACAGTAATATCATTGGTACGTGAGTGAACACAGATGAAAGTAAATACAGGGAAATTCGCTGTAATATACTTACAACTTCTCTGTGGGTGTGGACAGAGCGAGTAGATGAGAACTCTTATCTGAAGGGCAGAAACAGCTGAACGCCCGCAGCGCTCTACCTGCTTCTAATTAGCGACAGTCAGTGCAGCACCAGGCCGGGAGGCTATCTGCAGCAGGGGCGGGGGCTGCCCTGCTCGCCCACCACCCTTCCTTCTGGATAAACGTCAGAGACGACAGGGCCGCGCCCACTCAGGACACACGGACGAAGCACACAGAGCGGAACACCCTAGGAAGGCAGGAGCCTTAAAGGCTGGATTTCAAGCAAGGAAAGTACCGAGCGGCTAAAACGTCAGTTTGCTACATGTTTAATCTGGATCAAGGCAGGACAAGGTTGGCCGTTTCCTGGCTCGGCCACGCCTGCCTCTGGACGGAAACCACAGCACGGGCCCAAACCGGGCTGTCTCCTCACACGGTCGGGGTGCACAGCAGACGCCCTCAAGTAGGAACAAGGGGAAAGCGAGCATTGTTTTAAAGTGCCGACACGTGAACCAGTGTGAAGCTACACCCAAGGGCAATTAATTCACGTTCTGGCTCATCACATCCCAGCCGTACGCCGCCCTCCAGTAAGTGCTACATGCCTTTCAAGAGAGGACACGTTTGTAAAATAGCACACGTGGAGTCGTGTCTTACTCAACAAGCGGGTGCACCTGGCTCCAGACGGACAGGTCAGCTCACAGCCGTGTGCTCCTGGGAGACCCCGACGTAGCGTCCTGACGACTGTGAACGCACGAAGGACCGTGCTCTCTAGCGCTGTGCCAGGCCTGCAGAAGGAGCTGCCCTTGATCCAGGGCGTCCCTGGAGCCCCATCAAGGGAAGAACGAGGACAGCAGCACGCGAGGCCCTGGGAGGGCTGGTGGTGTTATCAGCGTGCTGCCAGCGCACACGTTAATCCTAAAATTCAGAATTTCCACTGTGCCGTGAACACACGCCCCCAAGAACCATGTGGAAGTGATGACAGATCGCTTTTTTTTAAATTTGGCCGCACTGCGCAGCATGTGGGATCTTAGTTCCCAGTTCGATCTTAGACCAGACCAGGGATCGAACCCGTGTCCCCTGCATTGGGAGTGCAGAGTCTTAACCACTGGACCACCAGGGAAGTCCCGACAGATCACTTTTAACATAAAGATTTTTAATCCAGTTTAAAAGAAATACTTAAAGCAAACTGCCCTTCAAATATGAGGTTAATTTAGGGTTTTTCTACGATTATAACGAATTAGGTATAATTGTATCTCAGAATTGTTAACTAAAAAAAAGGTACAAATTTTTCTGTTAAAATTCAAAGGCTTGATTGTAAAAGAGATTTACTGTAGGGAGTTTAACCTAGAAATCTCACCTGGAACGAGTAATAACCCAAATAAAAATTAATTATACATACATACAATCCCACAAAGGATCTAACCGGGATGATTTTAAGGAACCATATGTACCAGAATATAAGGTAACTCCAAGACACAAGCATAACATTAAGGCAGCTACTTTAACAAAAACGTGGCCTAATCAAGCGAGGGTCCCCCTAACACGCCAGCTCATCCCCCAAGGCACCCCCTACCCAGCCTCCCCTGTGTTTTGGGAGAAAAGCGTCTTCTCTCTGCTCACTCCTGTCATCCACTGTCACTCCTTCGCACAGGGCAGGCATGGCCTCACCTGGTATCTGCTTAAAGTCCAAGAACCGGGTCCAGATGGGGCAGCTAAGTAGCTGCGTTTGGGGCGCTGAAACTCACTGGGTCACAGCTGAAGGCATGAGCTGCCACAGGGCCACTGACCACTGATCCTGAATCAGAGAAAATGAGCGGATTTGCCCAGATCTCCACAGGTGCTTCCACGTACAAACTGGTTCTACAGCTGCTCCCATTAAAACGTATTCTGATCCAACAGTCTTGCAGAGGAAAGCTCACCTAGCCTCAAGTCTACAACACAAAAGCAAAGAGAATACGACTGCTTTTCTGCTGCATCAGGCCTGGGACCTTCACAAGAGGGGCCAGGGTGCGCCGGGCCCCAGGGCACCGCTAGGCCGTCTGCGCCAGAAACTCTAGGTACTGCCCGCGGGCCTCGAAGTGGTCAGCCGGCCGGTTGTACGCCGTCCACACTGGGTCTCCCACAAACAGCCGCATGGCCTTCACATAGTTCTAGAAAACAAGCAAAAACAGCAGCAATGGTTAGACCAGCTACGGAGGTTAACGCTCCTTGCTGTTTTATCCCTGGGTCTTAGCACTTTCTTGCATCTTCTGAAAGGCAGCGTCGGTGCCACGGCAAGAAGGCCTCGTGCTCGGGCGGCCAAAGCATCTGAGGCTCCAGCTCAGCGCTGACCCCGCGCTCTCGGCAAACACCCCGGCGTGAGCGCTGACTCCGCGCTCTCTCGGCAAACACCCCGGCCGTGAGCGCTGACCCCGCGCTCTCTCGGCAAACACCCCGGCCATGAGCGCTGACCCCGCGCTCTCTCGGCAAACACCCCAGCCGTGAGCGCTGACCCCGCCTGGGCGTGTGCCCCTCCTCCCCTCCTGCTTCCTTTGGTACCGGTTTCCCACGAATTAGAAAGGAGGGCAGCCTGCGTCACAGTAGAAACGTGCACACCTGTCCATCCAGGGTTCACTTGCAGCAATTTATCCCTCAGGTACACTCACATAAGTACAAAATGACGGATGTGTGAGGTTACTTATTACGGCACCGTTTACAACAGCAAAAAACTGGAAACAGCTGGCGTACCCATCTTTAGGGGTCACCCGTCAATGGGATAAATCAGGGTACGTCCCACAGTGGACACCAGGCAGCTGTAAACAGGAACGAGGCCCTTTACATCCTGAAACAAAACGATCCTAAAGCACCGCGAGCAGAAAAAAGGAAAATGCAGCCCCACCTACAGAAGTCGGCTACCTCCTGAGGAAAAGGGAAAGAATACTGACTCACGTTCGCCTGATATGGGTGACAGCGCTCTAAGGAGATTTTTAAGGACATAACAGTGGTTACTTTCAGGGAGAGATACTGGGCGCTGAGAACAGGGGTGACAAGGCGACCCTTCTCCACACACAACCTCATAATCCTGAGTTCTAAACCTAGTGCGTTCAGTTCCTAGCCAAAAATCGTGCTTAAATCTCAGGTTCGTCCGAATCACACCCAGAGACCCTCAGAACCGCCCTATTCCTGCTTCTGTGGCCGGTCTCGGTGGCTCTAGTGCACGACTGTTAAGCCCAACTGAAATGCTCTTAAAATGACGAGGGAGCAGTGACCCTGAGACCCGCACAAAGCCGGACCCCTGGACGGATGCCTCCCGCTGACCTGCGTGCACAGGCCCAGGCGGGCGGGGGGCCCTGTGGCGCCGGCCACTCGCTCAGAGGTAGGTAGAATCCTCGCCTCACGCCGCAGGGGTAAGTGTCCACGTCCGTGCACAGACCAGGCCCCAGCAAAGAAGACGAAAGGCCCACCTTCTCGTCCAGCGTGAAGCGGTGGTATATCCCAGCGGGGAGAGTGATCATGTCTCCTTTCTCCATGAAGATCCGGATCCACCTGTCCTCTTTATCCCTTACATCGAAGTACCCACTGCCGTCCAGGATGTAGCGAATCTCATCATCCAGGTGTAAATGCTCCTCATAAAACGTCTTAATCTAGAGCAGGAGGGAGTTCTCGTGAGCCCTGAAAACCAGGACTGAGGTGCCAGACACGTGCTCCACAGATAAGAAATACCATCCTACGTACGAGGGGGCAGGAGCTACAATGCTTTGTGGAGCCGACCGGTGGACTAGCGGGAAAGGAAAGAAGGCACACACGGCGCTTACCGCGTGCCGGGCAACGCTCTCAGTGCTTTATATGAATAACTCACTCAGGTGCTCTCTGCACCCCCCTTGGACAGATGAGGGATGCGGCTCAGAGAGGCTAGGTCGCCAGCCCAACATCACACAGCCTGGGTGTGTAGAGCCTAGACTCCCACGCAGACATCCTGGCTCCTGCAGCACACATGGCAGGCACGCTGATCACACACACACACACACATCACGCTGATCGCACACACACGCACATCACGTGATCACACACCCCATCATGCTGATCACACACGCACACACACATCACGTGATCACACACACCCCATCATGCTGATCACACACATCACGCAATCACTCGCACACACCATCACGAGACCAAATGCACACAGCAGTCGCGTTGATCACACGGGCAGATCAGAAGCCACGTGTGCATCTGAGGAAGGCAGTCACCGTCTCAACAAACACTTTCCACCTGTCCAAATGTACTTTTGTGTTTTTCAGATCTTTATCCCTCTAACATTTATAATAAAAATATTCAAATACGAACAAAAGTTGAAAGAATTCTACAGTAAACGCCCATCTTGCCTTGTTATGATCTCCCGTCTCTCCCCCTCCTGCGCAGGAGTTTTAAAGCTTTCCTTGAATAATGTCGGCACGTTTCTGGAAAATCCACAGATGTTTGGAAGATCACCACTGACAGTGAGAGCAAAGCACATGAACACCTCCCTATCAACCCCGTGGGCTGGTGAGGCTGTGAGGACGGGCCCCTGCCGCTCGGGGCCCAGAACCCCTGGAAGGTCAGCACAACTGAGCATGCGCTGACCCCGCACCCCTCGTGGGGTTCACCCTGAAGAGACGCCCTGGCGACACACAATGTGCACACGTCACTCCCTGCCGTACTGGCCGTAAGACACTGGGAACAATTCACAGGCCCAAGGAGAGCGGGAGAATACACAGCAGAACTGAGCCACCATCACGATAACCGGAGACCAGCAGCGCGGGTCACAGCGGGGTCAGCGGTACGGTGTGGAGGAGGCGGGGACACGGATCTGCCCTGTTGCATAATTTTGGCTTTAGAACCTAGTTATGTTTTACAGAGACATAAATAAAATGAAAACAGGCTTGGGGACGGTGGGGGGGGGGCATACGTCTGAAATCAAGAGAGACGCTCATAACCAAAGAAGGAAGAGAAAACTCATCTTAGTACCTTCTGAACACATTGCTTTGACTACATCCTCAGTCTGAGACAGGACCACAAACAAGCCTGGAACTCCAGGGACCGGTCTGCTGTTCGTAACAGCGTGACTGCAGCTGCCACCCCGGAAGCACGGGGTGTGTAGAAGGGCAGGCGGGACTGGAGCCGGGTTCTTGCTGTGGGAGGACCTGAGTCTCTCCCTACAGACTGAGGAGTCGTCCCAGGAGTGTGACTGGACTCAGAGGCATCAGTGTGAGCCAAAGATTGCTCTCACACAGACATGCACACACACGGGGACACACACACACACACACACACACGGGGACACACACACACGGGGACACACACGGACACACACACACACGGGGACACACACTGACACACACACGGGGACACACACACACACGGGGACACACACTGACACACACACGGAGACACACACGGACACACACGGGGACACACACACACGGACACACACACACGGACACACACACATACAAGCAGACACACACATACACGGACACACACATATACCCACGGATACATACATATACACATATACACATGGGCACACACATATGCACAGACACACACACATGGACATACAGATATACATATGTGCACACACATATACACAGACACACACATACAGACACACACATACATACAAACACATGGACACACAGATATACATATGTGCACACACATATACACAGACACACACATACAGACACACACATACATACACACACACGGACACACGAACATACACATGGATACACACAGACGGACACAAACGCACAGACACACATACATACGTACACGGACACACACGGACACACACACACACACCTGGACATACACACAGACACAATACACACACCGACACACAAGTACACATACACACACGGACACAATACACACACAAGTACACACACACTCTCTCTCTCTCTCTCTCTCTCTACCCCCTCATCCAGTTGGCAGAAGGACCTGGGCACTGACCCCTGAGTAGCAATGAGGGCACCAAGCACCCTGTCTGGGTTTCCAAGTCCCCGGAAGAACAGCCGATTCCAGGGCTGGGTCAGGGGAAAAGCCTGGAACACACTGACCCAGAAAGCACGGAGGTGCTGATAAGCATGAGGGGACGCGTCAGGAGGGCAGGGGCCACTGACAGGGGTGCCCACTTGCCAAGTCTGGAACAATGTGAACATCAAAATGGATCATGGCAGGAATGCACTACAGAGCCATGAGGAAAATAAGACTCCATAAGCCCGTACTGATGTAAATCAACAGCAGAGAACGGAGAGGCCAGCTCAGTACAGGAGGATGACGGCTGGAAGGTCACCGTTTTCACCCTGACACTGACACTGTTTCAGGCGGGAACCATCAAGATTTACTAAAATCGCCAAGTCAGAGTTTGATAGAAAATACGATATTCACAGTCGAAAAGTAACTCTCCACAAATTTCTTATTTGTTACACAGGGGAAAAAATGGTCACTTCACAACGCAGAAACTTGATGGGCACCAGGCTAACCAAGTTTAGCATCACCGGTGACACAACCCTCTGACAGCACGTGCCTCCCGACAAGGTACCCTGGGCAGACACAACACCGCTTCTGTAGAATTCCTGCCAAAAACGCATAACCTGAGTCTAACCACGCGGAAACCTAAGGCAAACAAGAGATAATCCGATAATAAAGAAGTTTGTTTCAGAAGAACAAGAGAGATAAGCCTGTATTAGGAACAGGGTTTTATTTCAGGAGAGAAGCTATTCTACAAGATGGTAATGATGAAAATAATCTAACTACTAGCATTTACAATACATGAGCCCCTTCTGTGGAAGATGGGAAGTCTAAAATTCCAAGTAAGAAAACACCATTTAAATCTCGGAGGATCTCATGACTCAGTAGGGCACTTGGTGAAAACTTTCGTCATTTTGTAAGGTGATATAATATTTGTACTCTGACAAGAATAATTTGATATAGAACAAAGTGAGGAGATAAAAACCACAAAACAAACACATCTCTTTTAAACAATGTTGGTGTCACTGCACCACTTTCATTCTTAGGTCAATGTGTTAAGTGTTGGTTCACCTACTTATATTTTCTTTTTCAGGAACACACACAGAAGACGTCCAAGCTAATGGAAGGGAGTCTTCCTGGCGGGTTCAGCAGAAAGAGCATGAGACCAGGGGGAGGACCTGGGTTTTGGGCCTTGCTTTATCAACATGACCATGGGAAGCGGTCCACACCCCCTCCAGGTGTCCAATGATAAGACTAAGAGGCTAAAGCTCAGTGATTTAAGGCCATAGCTTCACAGTTCATAGCTCAGCACGATGAAAGAAAAAGTCTTGGGACCAACACAGCTGCCAACTTTTTTTTTTTTTTTTTTTTGCAGTACACGGGCCTCTCACTGCTGTGGCCTCTCCCGTTGCGGAGCACAGGCTCCGGACACGCAGGCCCAGCGGCCATGGCTCACGGGCCCAGCCGCTCCACAGCATGTGGGATCCTCCCGGACCGGAGCACGAACCCGTGTCCCCTGCATCGGCAGGTGGACTCTCAACCACTGCGCCACCAGAGAAGCCCCTACACAGCTGCCAACTTTTGTCAAGAAAGAAAAATTCTAGAACAACTATTATTGTTGCTATTGTTTCACAACAGAGTCACCTTATTCCTGAGAAAGCAACGACAACAATTTCAAAAACAAGGCAGTCGTTTAACTTATTAAAAACTCTGCACATCTGTTTTCTCATTTTGCCAAGGATCAGTGAGTTTCTTTATTAATGGGCACCCGGGAATTACCATAAAACTAAGAACTTAAAACAACCCCGACTTCACTTCCATATGAGATGAGGTAACAGAAACTGGATTTCCCCTCCCACCTCCAACAATCAAAACAAACACAATATAAGAAATAATGGTTTGCAAAACACCAGACACCAGAAAAGGGAAGAAAGTGACCCGTGAGGCAGAAACAAGAGAGGGGAACCCTACTCCTGCTCTAGTTCACACCTTGAGAGAGTTCTCAGGCGGTGGTGCAGGGAGCGGGGGACCCAGGCAGGGCACCCTGAGCTGAAGAGCAGAGCTGAGAATCTGGGGAGACCAAGGGAGCTAGTATGCAAGATGGGAGTACCCGAGGAGAGAACTTCACAGAGAAAATCCCAAAGACCCGCAGAGGATCTCCCTCCAGTATTCTTCTGAGAGCGCATCAGAATGTGCCTAGGAAAACTACCTGAGGCTGGGAAAAGAACCATTCGGATTCTTCAGGATTGAAAGAACAGTTCCTGGCACTGACACCGATCCAGGAACAGTGCCTCTCCTACCAGTCAGACTGGGAAAACCTCACTATTCACGGGGCTTTGTGTGGTGTACACAAAGGAATTGTGCTTCATTAGTGGGGAATAATTAGCTATTGGTTGGTCTACCTAACAAATCTTAAAGGAAAGACCCAAAAGGATCAAATTGTTTCCAATAAGCTTATATGCATTCCAGAACAAAACTCAAGAATATTTATACTGATACGACAATATCCAGCACCCAAGGGAACAAAATCACAGTGTCTGGCATCCAATCAAAAATTACCAAACATGCAAAGAAGTGAGAAAACATGACCTTTAACCAGAAGATAAATCAGTCAACCAAGACCAACTCAGACTTGAGTTTCCAAATGGAAACATGGACTCATGCAACAGAGTAAGGAGCATCAGAAACGCTAACTATACGGTAATTAAAGAGTATTTTTAAATAGGATTTAAACCTCTTCACAATATAATTTACTATTTAAAAATGAAAACAGGGCTTCCCTGGTGGCGCAGTGGTTGAGAGTCCGCCTGCCAATGCAGGGGACACGGGTTCGAGCCCTGGTCTGGGAGGATCCCATATGCCGCGAAGCAACTAGGCCTGTGAGCCACAACTACCGAGCCTGCACGTCTGGAGCCTGTGCCCCACAATAAGAGAGGCCGCGACAGTGAAAGGCCCGCGCACCACGATGAAGAGTGGCCCCCACTCGCCGCAACTAGAGAAAGCCCTCGCACAGAACCGAAGACCCAACACAGCCAAAAATAAATTAATTAATTAATAAACAATTAAAAAATAAAAAATAAATAAAACCCTAAGGCAATCACTAAAACATTTTTTTAAATGATAAGCTAAGAGGAAAGAAAACAGAATTACACAAAATGCTCAATTAAAATCAGACAAGGAAGAAAAAGAGGAGTACATTTTTTAAATAATAAAGGACAAATATAATAAAAGTTACAAATATGGTATATATCAATCCAACCACATCAATAATCAATTTAATGTGAATGGTCTAAATCCATCAATTAAAAGACAGAGACTGTCAGAATAGATTAAAAGCAAAAAACAAACAAACAAAAAACCCTCTAACTATATGCTGTCTATGGGAAATCCACTATAAATATAAATACACAAATAGGTTAAAAGTGAAGATCTGGAGAAAGAAACACCATGTTAACACTAATCAAAAGAAAGCTCAAGGAGCTACATTACTTTCAGACAAAGCAGACTTCAGTACAAGAAACTCACAAGGGATAAAGGTGTATACTATGTAATGACAAAAGGGTCAAATCTCCAGGAGGACATAACAGTCTTAAACAAGTATGCCTCTAACAACAGTAAGGATATAGTTGAACTGAACAGCACCATCAATCAACTGGAAATAACTGACATTCACAGAATACTTCAACCAACAACAGTAGAACACACATTCTTCTCAAGCTCACATGGCGCATTCACCAAGATGGACTATATTCTGGCCCATAAAACAAGACTCCACATATTTACAAGGACTCAAATCATACAAAACACACTCTCTCACTACAATGGAGCTAAATCAGAAACTAACAGAAGACAAATCTCTGGAAAAGTCCCCAAATAACTGGAAACTAACATATGTCAAGAAACCTATATAGTTCAAAGAAGAAATCAAAAAGGAAGTTAATTCGGAGATATTCTAAATTGAATGAAAATGAAAATACCAAACAAAATTTGTGTGATGCCACTCAAGCAGCACACAGGGGAACATTTACAGAACTAAACACCTTTATTAAAAAAGAAGGGGGGCTTCCCTGGTGGCGCAGTGGTTGAGAGTCCGCCTGCCAATGCAGGGGACACGGGTTCGTACCCCGGTCTGGGAAGATCCCACATGCCGCTGACCAGGTGGGTCCGTGAGCCATGGCCGCTGAGCCTGCGTGTCCGGAGCCTGTGCTCCGCAACGGGAGAGGCCACAACAGTGAGAGGCCTGCGTACCACAAAAAAAAAAAGAAGGAAGGCTTCATGTCAATGACCTCAGCACCCACTTTAAAAAATTAGAAAAAGAAGAGCAATTAAACCCAAGGTGAGTAGAAGAAGGCAAATAAAGACAAGAGCAGAATTCAAGGTAACAGAGAACAGAAAAACAATATTGAAAAATCAATGAAACCAAAATCTGTTTGGTAAGATCAACAAAACTGATAAACTTCTAGCGGAACTTGGGCAAAGGAGAGAAGGGACACAAATTACCAATATCAGGAATGAAGGAGACAGCACTACAGATTCTACAGATATTGTGAGGATAATAAGGGAATAGTCTGAATAACTTCATGCCAGTAAATCTGACAACTCAGATGGAATGGACAAATGCTTTGAAGGACACAAACTACTTAAGATTATTCAAGAAACAGATATTCCGGATAGCCCTATATCTGGTAAAGAAATTGAATTCGTAGCTAAAAACCTTCCTACAAAGAAAGCTCCAGGCCCATATGGCTTCACTGGTTAATCTGCCAAACATTTAAGGAAAAATTAAACCCATTCTACACATACTCTTCCAAAAAACTGAAAAGGAGGGAGTATCTCGCAGCCTATTCTGAGGCCAGCATTACTCTGATATAAAACCAAAATGAAGACATTAAAAAGGAAAGAGAAGCTTCTGTTTATTAGTAGCAAATATAATGATTCCCCTTTTCAAATGCTTTAGCACTCCCTCACCTTTTCTTCGTAATTTGGTAGTTTGTCTTTGCATATGGTTATTATGTCCATCCAGGAGTAGTTTCTCTCTTTTCGGATCTTTTCTAATTCTGGATCATTCTCATATTTGTCAGCATCCAGCTAAAAGAGTTTAAAACACAAACAGGAAGCCACATGAATGCATCGAAACATTCTCTTTCTGGATCTCCAATATTATACTCCAAATTTATCATCCAGTCCTTTGTCCACACTAAACCAACCCTTCTCCCCCTCCTTTCCCTATTTCTTTTAATGGTTTTCCCACTCTCCATAACAGCTAAAAACTACGCAGTTGTGTTTAATTCCCACCTCCCTTCTCTGCAACGGTCCTGCCTGGGGGATTCCAGTCCCACTGCCAGGAGCCCAGGGGAAGCTCTCATCGCCTCAAGCCTGTCCACACCGCCATGTCCTGTTCCTCTGCCACCAATCCACTCTGCAAGTCTAACTGATCTCTCGATGGCATCTCTTTGGTTACGTTGCTTCCCTGGGCCAAAACACCTGAAGCTGTCAGAGCCTACAAATAAAAGGCAAATTCCTTAGACAGAGGCAAGAGGCCTTCTACCACCTGGCCCGGGCTGCCTTTTCTACTCCTCTGTCCCTATTCCCTGTTTTTAAAACACCTACATTCTAAACCAAATGCGATTATGGGCTGCTCTTCAAAAACACCTGATGCTTCACAGCCCCACACCCCTGCTCCTGACACCTTCCTACGCCTGGAACGGCCTTTCCCTGTTTCCACTTATCACAATCCCATCAACTGTTTAATGTCCAATTTTTTTTTTTTTCTTTTTTTTGCGGTACGCGGGCCTCTCACTGTTGTGGCCTCCCCCGTTGCGGAGCACAGGCTCCGGACGCACAGGCTCAGCGGCCATGGCTCACGGGCCCAGCCGCTCCGCGGCATGTGGGATCCTCCCGGACCCGGGCACGAACCCGTGTCCCCTGCATTGGCAGGCGGACTCTCAACCACTGCGCCACCAGGGAAGCCCTAACGCCCAATTTTAAGGTCATCTTCTTCATGAACCACACCCCTTGGGCCCCAGACACCATTACTATGAACTCCTCCTTAAAACTACTGGCAAAGAATTTCACACATTTTGCCTTATGTTGCAATAAAATGTGCATGGTATCCCAACTACTGAATAGCAAACTCAGAATACCTCAAAGTACTAGTCAGCGATACGTTAATTGCTAAAAGACGACTCCCCAGATGTGCAGATCCACACAGTATGCACTAGGTCACCATCCACCTTCAAACCCTGAGCGCGTGAGCGCTTCCTACCGCCCTGCGGCAGCACTAACAGAACGGGCAAAAAGGCTCCCCCTGCTGTCGCTGCTCAAGCGCGGTGACTATTAAGAAAGGTACGAAAATACAGAGTAAACGAAGTTTAATTTCGACAGCCCTTTGCCTCACCATCCAGAGCACAACGAGGAGGCAGGAGAAACTGGGTTTGATCTCCTGGAAAACCGCAAAGGTGACTTTTACAGCGTCTTACTGTATCCTTTGGGTACATTCAGAAGTTGGCCACCGTCTCACACCTGCTCTTAAACTGTCACATGTACCGCGAAACCCGAAGTGCAGGGATTTGCAGTAAAACTAACTTATTTTCTTCTCAGAACAGACGCGATACTGCCCTGAAGACACCGCCTTCCAGGAGGTCGTGGGGGTCGCCCCGGCCCCTCCCCCGGAGACCCGCACTCGCCGCGGGCCCTGCAGGGACCCCAAGCCCTCCCGCCCCGCCTGTCCCGCCTTCAACCCGGGCGGCCGACGACCCCGCCGGCACCGGACCCTCCGCAGTGTTCCGACCGCTCACACCCTGCCCCCGCCTCACCCTCGGCGCCGACACCCCCACCCCCCAATCCCCAACCCCCCAACCCCGCTACTGAGCCTACGCAGTGCGCATCACGGCCTGGACGCCGACCCCCGGCCCCGCCGCCGGGCATGCGCAGGGCGCAGGGCGAACGGGGTCCTATCATGGCGGCGGCCACCGTTCCCGGGGGCGCGGGGTGCGCGGGAACTCGGGGATATGAACGGAGGGCTCTCCCGCCCGCCCGCGACCCCGCCCCGGAGCCCCCGCCCCGCGAGACCCCGACCGCGCCCCCGGTCCCGCGTACCTTCCAGTAAAGGACCCCGAGCCCGCGCAGCTGCTCCAGGTCGACCGGGCGCGCGGGCTCCCCGCGGTGGGGCCGCCGCGGGTCGTCGGCCGACTTGTCCATGTACCAGGCCTGCACCATGGCCGGGCCCGGGGGCAGCGTCGCCGCCTGACCCCGGACCTGATCGGGCCGGTCTAAGCCCGGGACCTGCACCCGGGACCCGCGCGGGCTGCCCCTCCCCCGACCCCTCCCCCGGGAGGCGCCGGGAGGGAGGGAGGGAAGGAAGGAAGGAAGGAGGGAGGGAGGGCGGCGCGGGAAAGGAAAGCGGGCGGGACGTGCTCCGAAGGCACCGGGCCGAGGGCTTCCTTCCCGCTGGCCGGCGGATGGGCTCCGAGCGCGGGTCAGATGTCCCCCGAGGGCTGTCTGCCGGCTCGGCTCAGGCCCGGTGACCACCCGGAGCCGAACCTGAGCGGGGCCAACCGCCCACCCGTGGCTGTCAATCAGCTCCTCGTGCAGGAGGCCGAGTGTGGCCCGGCCCTGCGTGAACTCAGTCGTCGGGGTAGGGGCTGCCTGGCTGGCACTGTGTTCCCGGTGCGCGGGATCGGGTAAAATTCAGCGCCCTCGAGCACCGCGCACATGCCTCGCGGGGTGAGGGCTACAGTCTCCTTGAACATCCAGGCGCCATCTTGTGAAGCAATTTATACCGAGATTAAATAGTTTGTATTTTACAGCGAAGAAAGCAAATGCCAAAAAAAAAGAGTGATTTTTGTTAAGCCCGTGCCGCTGAGATGGTGCACAGAGGACCCCCGGCATCATTCAGGGTGGGATATTGTACTCTCCGTCCCCCCCATGTTTACAATATCAGCAGTCTGCAGTACCACCCTATAATTTTAAATTGCTTCCTTTTTCCCTTTTTCATCTCATCTCCTTTCCCTATATAATGTCATGTCCTAGAATAAATTCAAGCTTCCCAATCCTTGAATTTCTAATCAGTTTTGCTGACAAGGGGGGAAATCCAGCTGCTCAATCAGCCTAGGTTTATCTTTTCAAATCGATCGAAGAGATCAGCTTATCTCAGCCATTCACCCCAGTGTCTTTAACAGGGAATCAAGTAACTAGAACACGTGTGGGACTTAGGCTGGACTGCTCTCAGACAGTACATCCCCAAAGCATACAGCTGACTCTAGAACCTCCAGAAATACTGTGTGAAGAGCACACTTTTATTTCAATTCGGTTCCGTTGCACCCTGACTGCAAACACAGGATGCAACGTGTGGGCACCTGTGTGCCCACATCCTTCTTAGAGAGCCTGCCTCTTCAGCGCCTCACTTGACAATTACTGCTCATCCTTCAGGGTTCCACGTGAGACATCACTGCCCACTTTTTTTCTGCCCCTCACTGCTCTCTCCTTCCCTCCTCACCCTTCTCAACACTCCCTCAGGTTCCCAGATCCAACCACAGCCTCTGTTTTCGTCAGCCAGTTCATCACAGCCGCCCCTCCCTGTTCCTTCAGCCCGCTCCTTACCCCGCCCCCCCCCCAGTTGTGGCTCCTCTCCGCATGCCCACAACATTGTGGAGTGTCCCAGGGCTATTAAGTACCGCAAAACTAACGTGGCCAAACTGAACTCGAGTCCCGCACATCCAAACATGCCTGTCTCTACCCTTTGCCAACTCCGTAAACAGCAGCAACCACCCAGTGCCTTGATCCAAAAGCCTCGGGGTTTTCCTATTTCCTCTCCCTCACCCTCAACATCCAGTCCTACCTACAGCGAATCCTGTGGATTTGAGCTTCCAAACACACCACAAATCCCCTCACATCCCTGCGTCCCCCTCCTCCTGCCTGTCGTCTTGCCTGACAACTGGAATCGACCGCCTGCTTCCATCTCTGCCCCACTGCAGTCCGTCCTATGCAGAGCGTATATTTAAAAACACAAACCAGATCATGTCACTGCTTGACTTTAACCCTCCTTGCTAACTCTGCCCTGGCTCCACGGCCCATGTGGCTGGCGCCTGACCACCTCTCCCTCTTGTTCTCTGCCCTCCGCCTGCCTGGGCCTCTTCCTTCCCCGGGCCTCCGCCTGCATCTCCCGCCCCTCCTCGCTGCCAGGGCTTTGACCTGCAGTTGTACCACCTTCCTTCTTTGCTCTTCCTTTCTCCAAGCACTTTTCTCCTGTGTACTTCCATTTTTCAGCATAAATATCCTTTTTTTTTTTTTTAAATATTTTTGGCCTCATGGTGCAGCTTGTGGGATTTTAGTTCCCCGACCAGGGATCAAACCCGCGCCCCCTGCATTGGAAGCACATGGTCTTAACCACTGGACCGCCAGGGAAGTCCTGTCGGTTGTTTTCTTAAAAGACAGGCTCGGGACTTCCGTGGTGGTGCAGTGGTTAAGAATCTGCCTGCCTATGCAAGGGACACGGGCTGGATCCCTGGTCTAGGAAGATCCGACATGCCGCGGAGCAACTAAGCCCGTGTGCCACGACTACTGAGCCCACATGCCACAACTACTAAAGCCCGTGCACCTAGAGCCCGTGCTCCGCAACAAGAGAAGCCACCGCAGTGAGAAGCCCGCGTACCGCAACGAAGAGTAGCCCCCCCACTGGCCGTAACTAGAGAAAGCCCGCACACAGCAACAAAGACCCAGTGCAACCAAAAAAAAAAAAAAAAAAAATATATATATATATATATATATGTGTATATATATATATATATAAAAGGCTCAGTCCATTTTGGGGAAAATGTCTGCCAAACACCCTGGTTGGAATAACCATAGTTATTTGGTGGCAAGCTCAGCTTGCAGCTCAATCATACAAGAGCTTTTTCCCTCAAAACAACCAGGGAACTTTGGCAAACAGTAGAGATGCTTTCTGTATGCTTCCTGCTTTGCCCCAGAGGTATTACAAAGATGTCTACTCGGGGGGGGGGGGGGTCAAGATTAATAAAATTAATAATTTTTACTACTTCATCAGGACATTCTTAAGAGAAACGGGGCTTTGTTTTGCTTTGTCTTGTGAAGGACACGATCACTGCTGGTAGTTTTGTGCTGCGGCCCAAGCCACCCTCAGGCAGCAAGAACGTGACCCACCTGGCTTCGCCCCGTTCCTGCAGCACGCAGCCCGGGGGGAAGCGGGTACTGTCCTGGCATCCTCACCAAGCTGCTCTCCTTCGCTCACCTGCCCTTTAAGAACGCAGCTCTCTGGAACAGACCCAAACCACTATGTGTAAAATAGAGAAGCAACAAGGAATTATACCCATTGTCTTGTAATAACGTACAATGGAGTATAATCTGCAAAAACGCTGAGTCACTATGTTGTACACCTGAAACTAACACTGTAAATCAACTATACTTCAATAATTAAAAGAAAAAAAAATGCAGCCCTCAGCTCTGTTGTTTAGGGTGCAGGTGACTGAAATCCAACAAGCTGCTTAAGCAGACAAAACAGAACAGAGGTCCTGGCTCACGTTACTGAGAAAGGTTAGAGCATCCCTTGCCTTGAGCGCAAGTGGATTTGGGGCTTGGAGGAACTTAACAGCTCTGTCTGTCTTTGCCTGTGTCCGTCTGTCTGCTCTCTCTCCACATCCCAACTAGCTTTTCTCTGTGCTTTGGCTTAATTCTCATCCACCGGGATGAGCTTTTTGTACATGTCAGGAAACAGCCACCAGTAGCTCTGAAACTGCTTGTAATTCAGGGAAAAGGAGCTCTTGATGTAGTGTCTGGACATCCAGTCTCATGGAAGTTTCCAGGTGGCCAAGCAAGAGCCACGTGTCCACGCCGTGGGTCTCTGTGGGAGTTCCAAGGCCCGGTTGTGGCCACGTGGGCAGCCGTCAGGGAAACCCCGAGCCTGGCAGCCCCATCACGGCCTCAGGATGGACAGGGAGACAGCGTGGCCCCAGGAAAGAAGGAACAGCTGGGCAGACAGCACAACGGATGCTCACGACAAATACAAACTGCCAAATTCTCCTACTTTTGGAGAGTTTCTAATAAGGAGAGAATAAAAGAGGTGAGCAAAACGGCTCTTGGCTTCTCATCCTTCTGTGTCTTCAGCTCAACACCCGTCCCTCCCGGGCCCTCAGGCTAACCCCAGTCCAGGCGATGCCAGAGCAAACCCAATTCCACGGCGGGAGGCTGTGTCTAAACTCCTCTCCCATTAGGGCCAAACTTGAGTGAATGTCTTTAAATGGAAGAAGCTGGAAGGCTTTCTAGAAAATATAGAAAATGTTCAGGGAGATTGGGCGTAATAAATAATGGAGGACATGGCAATAGCTAGAAGCTACAAAAGACCACCTGGGCGAAAAGCACTGTTTCAGGAGCGTTTTAAAAGAGAGAGCTAGAAATAAAAGTTTTTTGTGAAACACAAGGGTCCATCCATCAATAAATGTAGAGTTAACAGTAAGACCTATGGAATGAAACCAGTGGGACGGCCCCAGATCCCACAAGTCAAGAAGACCTGGCAAGTTCACTAACTCAGCACATAAAAGGACAAGAACTTTAATAGAATGGAGCTGGGTGACTGAGAATTGGATGCCTATGAAACTGTTCTTTTTTGTGTGTATATTTGAAAAATTCTGATACTAATTTTTACAAAAAGTTCTGGGATTTTGAACTGAGAAACAAGCCATCTGTGCATGTAAATTTTTTCAGCTGAAAAAGGGAGCACGAGTCTGGATTTCTTAACAAAGAAGGAATGTTCAGGACCAGCTGCCTAGAGGCCCCAGTCAGCAAAATTTTGTTCAAACTAATTAAAAGGAAAACGTTTCTCTTGATCTTAATGCATCTCTGAAATGAGGTCGAAGACATCCACACAACCTTAGCCTCCTTTTCCTGGGGGGGAAATGCAGGCATATTTACAGCATGTCAGTGAATTATCCCAAACCTTCGTGCCTCCAGGATGAAAATAAAACCGAATGTTTATTCCAGTGTGAGGTCACCTCTCCCATCTTCACTTGTCATCTTTGGGATCCTAGTGTCCCCCAAACACTTGTTCCAATAAAGCCTTTCCCCAAATGTGTTCCAAGTCACATATGTTGAGGAAACTGACTCAAAAAAAAGGGTTTTGAGGTCAAACACTGAGGAAACTGCTGATGTTATCTCTCTTCTGAAAACTGGTGATGTTTGTCATGGAGAAATTGTCTAATGGCGACAAAACTTGTCCCCATTCTAGAGTGGCAACCACTAATTCTAAATGTGTTCCACAGAACATTCTTTGGTGAACACTGTCAAACGTTCAGAAATATCAGAAGTAAAACCAATGCAGCACCAGAGTGG